TCCCTCTCACAGCTTCTTGCTTTTCACTTTATTCAGTCTCTGTAGAGGAGAAGTACCTAGCTACACTACCGAACATAACGGTCCCAGTGACCCAGTTGTCTTCAATCGCTCAACACCTATTTTCCTCTTTCCGATATTTATTCCTTGTCCATTATCATCCTCTTTGAACCCTTCCCCCTCTACCCCCTTGACTCCTCTCTCCCTCCAGTCTTTCTCCTCCATTTCCCCTTCCCTAGGTCCTCTCCAGCCACATACATGTACTCACCCCTCCCTACCTACCAACAACACACCTAAACCCCACCCTGTTCATCCACCGACACCTCCCATCGTCCGGCACATTCAAGTGCTGTCCCGCGTAGTTGATCCACGTGTTATCATACGGGCCATTATACGCGTTCTCGTTGCACGCGTTCCCGCCATGCATGTCGATCGTCCAGGGAAGCACCGAGTAGAAGGACTTCCATTGATCGCCGTAGCAGTTCAGCGCGGACTTGATTTCCAGGATGTTGGTGGCGTTGACGACAGACGTGTAGAGGAAGTCGTTGGTCACGTTGAGCATGTAGATGTAGAGGTAGTTCTTGGTGATGATTTGGGCGAGGTTGGGGTGCCCGAGGATGATGGAGAATTCGTTGCTGTGAGGGGGGCGTGGGGGGGTTAGCTGATCTGGTGGTAACGGGCAAAGGTGAAAAGGGAGAGTTAGGAGGGGTAAGTAACGTACCATTTCAGATCTCCGTGGCTGTCGGTCCATGTCACGCAGTTGAAGTCGTTTGCGACTTGGCGAGCGTCCAGTTTCGATGAGGTCAAGGTGGTTCTTTGCGCAAGAGCGATGGTGTTGTCACTATTGAGACCAAAGTGGGAAGGAGCTGCCGAGGTGAGGGCAGCCAAGATAATGGCCCACAGAAGGGAGAAGAGAGCTTTGTGTCTCATTGTCACTTTGCTGTCACAGGTCGTGGAAGATGATGATTTTGATCGTAGACTAAAGCTGCTCAGTTGATAATGACGTGATGAAGATCTGACTTTTCGACGTTTCGCTCGTTCAGATGGTGTACCGGTAAGATTGGAAGGTAAAGACAGGTAGAGGAAAAGAAAGGAAGGAAGGAAGGAAGGGAGGGAAGAAGGTTGAAAATGGGTTGTGAAACCTGAGATGGTGAGCTCAAGTTGAATCATATAGCAGGAAAGAGCTTCATGTTTCCACTGCTCGGCCCGAAGGTTCTCAACTGACGCAAACTCCATTGCACGAACTCAATCCACTCACAAAGCATGAATCGTCGGTAGACGTACCTGTAGTACACAAAGTTCTGGTATGTGAAGCTATTGAGCCTCAATAATCGATGCTAGGTATCTTCAGGTATCCATGGAAGGAGTTTGTGTTGCAACTCGTACACAGGTAACGAATAATCCTAACAACTCAGTCAAATCTCCCATTACACCGTTAGACCTTGTGTCAACTTGTCCCCCATATCTCAGAGCCATTACCCGATGGAGAGTTTGGAGAGTTCATGCTTGAAACAAGGAACCGTGTTGTTGGGGACCATGCGCAGTCAATGTGGTCTAGCTATGTCGTCTCCAGCTTCTCCAGTGCCCGATACTTCTTCTCGTCTTGGTGTTGCACAAGATCGGGAGCTGGTGTGATGATGGCGGGATGATGCGGCCGAGAGCGGGAACGGCTGGATCGGCTGGAACGTCTAATCTGGACCCAGACGGTGGGAGGTTACTGCCCCCAAGCTGAGGGCAGAGTGATTACTGTTTTACACGTTCAAAATTAATGGATAAGTTCAGTTACCCAGGGGCTCGGGTATGGAAGATATCACTTGATTTTCCGCTATAAGCCCCGACCGGTGGCTTCGTTACGGATATCTCCACAACCTCATCCTGATTCCTGTTTTTTTTTTTTTTTTTTTTTTTTTTATCTCTATGTTTTCTACCCTTCCTTCTTGAGCCCTTGAACGGTTGATCACGCCATTGTGAACTTGTATCTTGACGATGTCATCACTTCTCCGTCATCACTTCTCCGTCATCACATTCCTCCCTTGATCTGACCAGACCATCTACCTGCTTCCTTGATGTCTGTTTCCATCCATTCTCAAGTGCTTATCGACCATCGTGCACCTCACCCTTCCATGCCATTAGCTGACTCTCACTTAGTTCAACAGCTTTGCAGAAGAAGCTGTGATAGAGAAAGTCTGTACCAGGGCGGCAATAGCTTAGCGTGCGTCTTGTATGTATGGAAGAACAGACGTTATGGAACGCAAAGCAGAGGGTCGCTGCTTACTGGGTCCCTTCATCACCCCTTTTTTTTTTGGACTCTTTTGCTTGCGCCACGGCATCTGGCCCACTGCTAGAAACCACCCGAACACCATTGAATCCCGAGGCCAGGTTGTGATCCTTCAGGAGCACCTTTCCAGTGGGTATGTGCGTGACGTCAACCGTGCAGTCGAAATAGACCCCTATCATCCTGACCCAGCCCGAGAGGGTGTCTAGTAGGGAAGGGGCGGGAATTCCATCTAGAAGAAGGGCGACAACAGTCTAGCCAGTTAAGCCAGGGATTGGGGAGTAATGCCTCGAGGGCTTCAGGGCTTCACCCTCGGCAAATAACAGGCGGAATCTGTCTTCGGGGATTTGGAACCGTGTATTCATGGTCCCCGGGTACCAAACGGGATGCTCTTCGTCTATGTCGTCCATGGAAGTGTCTCGTCCGTGGAAAGTTGTTGGCCGTTTAGGCGATTGATACCCTGGTTGAGTGTCCACATGATCTCGATCTTATAATGTTGTCTGTCCTTGTAAGTAGGGTCAACATCTGGGCCGGGGTGGTCAAAAGCAAAGACAGCAGTGACGGCCATGCGCCTTCTCACGGCTTCGGTCGTTGAGCTGCAAGCTTCAAGTTCGAAGAACCCCTGTCCCGAAATCATCATGTTTGGGAGACCCCGAAAAGATGCGTTGGCCAAAGTAGCTTGCTCAGAGGCAGGCATCTTGGATGTTCCTGTGGTGAAGATGGTGTCCAGAGCAAAGTCTCGCAATCAGAAACCGACCGGGAAGGTAAATCGGAAGAGATTGGCACGCCGGTGTACTTACAAGCGTTGAAGAATAATGCGTCGTGATTCACGAGGGGGTGAGTGTCCTAGTGACCGAGGTGGGAAAAAAGGTATTGGACTTTCAAACAAAGCTCGTTGGTCATGGACATCAGACACAACTGAAGCCATGGTAAATGCAGGAGGAAAGCGCTTTCAGACATGGAATAGAAGGTAGCCTTGGAATCCGAGCTGGGTCGGGTCCGAAATCAGAATCGCAAAGTCCTACCTTCCCCCAACAACCAATATCCCTTACTTCAACAGAAAGAACCAACCATTTTCTTCAGAAAGGGCCACCTAGACTGCCTCTGCCAAACTGAATCGACAGCCATTCCAGTCATCTTGCCCTCTAACCTCTACACTTTGACAACTCCAGCAGGCGACAACAGCTGCCTTTCGAAACTTTCCTTTTCGCTGCAAGATTCCCCCTCACTCCCTTTGGACCTTGGTTTTTCTGGAGAAAACACCGCCCGAAAATCCCCTTTCCCTCCCCACTCTCACCGCATATACAAGTTGCTCATACTACAGCCGACTCTGAAGTGCATGACTGAGGATCCCTAATCCCTTGGAGACCAGCACCGTCACGTTTCACCTTCTCCGCCTGGTCTATAGTCACAGGGGGCGGGGAGCGCTGGTTGTCACATACGGCGTTTCGTTGAAGGCAGACGGATGGATGGCGTTGCTAGAGATGACGTTGAAAGGACTTGAAGGAGTTCATGATCGATAGACCAAGGCACCTAAAGAGACATCATAATAGTCTGGTGATGATCCAATTTGCACCTGATAGCACCTGTTCGAAAAGTCGTGTGTCCGAGTCCTGGCAAACATTTGATCCACGGTATTGTTGATGAGTAGCTCTTCGAATTCCAGTCAGGGGTCCGGATCCAAAGCCGATGAAGCTGTTCGGTCAAAGCGTTTGGAATTCCGTCAAAGCGTCTCGGTGGGGTAGAATACAGTTGATGATAACCTCATCTGTTTGCCGGTCATGGTGGAGAGATAACTCCGCCATGACATCACAACCCCGAGCTTTGTGAGCTTGTGAGGTTGGTGATCGAAGGAGACTAACCAACACCAGAGATGCCTAAATGGGAAAAACCGAAAGGCATGATGGGGTCAAAGCTCAGAAGCCAAGTGTCGGGATGTTCAAGGATGATGAAGAACGATCACAGGGGAAAAGTCAAGTCAGTCGTCATAGTCTGTCCGAGCTCGGAGACATCAGTGGTATAAGAACATCCCAACTCCCACTTGAGAGGCATCACGTACTTTTGTCAAGACTCAGCAGAACGAATACCTCTAACCGTATCACCACAACATCACAACGACACCGCCACCATGGAAAAAGTCCTCCAAACCGGCCTCTCGCTAGGGATGTCGGCAACCTCGGGCATCCACTCCAGCAAGCCCAACCGCGCCCCCCGCGAATTCGACGGCAAGAACATTATGCCTGCCAGCTACTGCCCCACGGCCAAAGACCGCGTAGTCTTTCCGGCCAAAAATGGCAAGGTCGAGGCATCCCACATCTGCATTGGGGCCTGGCCCTGGGGCGACAAGAGCACCTGGCACTACAAGGAAGAAGAGTTTCCAGCGATCGAGGCTGCCTGGCGCGAGCTCTACGACGCCGGCATCAACTTTATCGACACGGCCCAGGCGTACGGCAGCGGCGAGTCCGAGAGGCTCGTGGGCAAGCTGGTCAAGGGTCTGCCTCGGGATAGTTATGTGATCCAGACCAAGTGGCTCGGGACGGCGCTGGACGCCAAGAACTATGTGCACGCCAGCGACGCGCCGTACAAGACGCTCAAGTCCAGCCTGGAGCGGTTAGGGCTCGAGTACGTCGACATCTATCTCGTGCACGGCCCGACGCACCCGCAGAGCGTCAAGACGGTGGCCGAAGGACTGGCCAAGTGCGTCAACGAGGGGCTGACCAAGGCCGTGGGCGTGGCCAATTACGGCAACGACAAGGTGCTCGAGATGAAGGCGGCGCTGGCCGAGCACGGCATCCCGCTGGCGACGAACCAGGTCGAGTACAGCATCCTGCGCAGGTACCCCGAGATCCACGGCGAGATCAAGATGTGTCTCGACAACGGCATGGTCTTCCAGTCGTACTCGTCTCTTGCCCAAGGTAGGCTGACAGGCAAGTACACGGTCGAACACCCGCCGCCCAAGACGTACAGGTTCTCGAGCTATCCGATGGAGGAGATCAAGGAGACGCTGGCCGTGTTGGAGAAGATTGCAAAGGCCAGGGGCAAAGCCATGGCCAGCGTGGCGCTGAACTATAACATTAGCAAGGGGGCGTTGCCGCTTGTCGGTATTCGGAACCCGGAGCAGGCGAGGCAGGCGATTGATGCGCTGGGTTGGAGGTTGACTGAGCAGGAGATTATTGAGCTGGACCGGGTGAGCGTGGAGGGGACCAAGACTGTGTTATGGCAGCAGGGGTAGATGTTCCCGTGTCGATGTCGTTGATGTTTTGGAGGACGCGTACAAATGGCTGGATACCCAAATTGTGAATGTTGTTGTCGAGTGTTTTTCTGTTCTTGTTTTGTTTTGTTTTGTTTTGCTTCACAGATTCGGTTGCTGGAGAGAAATTGAGCCGAGGAGTGCAGAAGCCGTTGGTGCCGAGATGCCGTTCCGTGCCGCTGCATGCCGTGACCGATGTGGGGTTAGTCCACGACTTGCCAATTGTGGTTTAGCTTGGCGATAAGAACTGATAACAACCCCGCCAAAGACCTGGGTGGGGCCGGGGCCCGGACGGGAAGCTGCAGTGTCGTTGCCCCGCCCTCGTCGCCGGGAAGGAAGCATTGCAGAGCACCTTCGATATCCCGAAGCAAGGCGCCTTTCAACAGGATTACAGTAACATTGGCCAGGATCAGACAATTCTCCTTGTCTGTGCTGTAATAATCGGTTCTCCATGCGAAACCTCTTTTCTTCCCTCAACACCATCTTCAAGTTCCCCGCCATCATCACCACCACCACCACCACCATCGCGAGGTCCTCACATCATCATCATCGGTATCGAACCATGACCACCGCCGCCAGAATGGACTTTGAAACCACCCTCAAGGGTAAATACCCGGCCAAGCGACATGCCCAGCGCGTGGCCGACTACATCCGCAACAAGGTGCCCGGCGCTTCCGGCGTTCTCTACCTCGAGGGCCGCGCCACCAAGCTGCTCGAGGACAACGACGAGGCCGAGCCCTTTCGCCAGCGCCGCTACTTTTACTACCTGACCGGCTGCCCGCTCGCCGACTGCCACTACATGTACGACCTGGATGCCGACAAGTCTACGCTCTTCATCCCGCCCATCGACCCCGACTCGGTCATCTGGTCCGGCCTGCCGGTTTCTGTCGATGAGGCCAAGCAGCGCTGGGACGTTGACGACGTCAAGTACACCAGCGATGTCAACGCCACCCTCGCCCACGTCGGCAGCAGCAAGCCCAAGGGCTCTTCTGTCTTCGCCATCGCGAACCAGGTCTCGGACAAGGTCACCTTCCTCGAATTCGACAACAAGAACTTCTCCATCCTCAAGGAAGCCATCGAAGTCACGCGCGTTGTCAAGGACGAGTACGAGCTGGCCATCATGGCCAAGGCCAACGAGATCAGCTCTGACGGACACAAGATGGTCATGCAAAAGGTCAAGCACGTCCAGAATGAGCGCGAGTTGGAGGCGGTTTTCCTGGGACACTGCATCGCCAAGGGCGCCCGCAACCAGGCCTACCACAGTATCGTCGCCAGCGGTCGCGCGGCTGCCACGCTGCATTACGTTCCCAACAACGCCGACATGGCTGGCAAGCTGAACCTTTTGCTGGATGCGGGAGGCGAGTGGGATTGCTATGCCTCGGACATTACCCGCACTTTCCCCATCAACGGCAAGTTTACCAAGGAGAGCAGGGAGATTTACGATATCGTGCTCAAGATGCAAAATGAGTGTATCGCTGCGCTAAAGGAGGGTGTCCTCTGGGATGACGTTCACCTCCTTGCGCACAAGATTGCCATCGACGGCCTTCTCCAGATTGGCATTCTCCAGGGCGACAAGGACGAGATTCTCGAGGCCAGGACGAGCGTTGCTTTCTTCCCCCACGGTCTGGGTCACTACCTGGGCATGGACACCCACGATACCGGCGGCAACCCCAACTATGCTGACAAGGACACCATGTTCCGCTACCTCCGCGTCCGCGGTCGTCTCCCAGCTGGCAGCGTGATCACCGTCGAGCCCGGTATTTACTTCTGCAACTTTATCATTGAGCCGTTCTTGAAGGACCCCAAGCACAGCAAGTACATCAATGCTGATGTGCTGGAGAAGTACTGGGATGTTGGTGGTGTCAGGTATGTCGACTGTGATTTGTTCGTATATATGGTATGAAAAAGGGCGAATGCTAATTTGTCGTTGCTGCACAGAATTGAGGACAACCTGGTCATCACCAAGGACGGCACCTACAACCTCACGACAGCACCCAAGGACCCCGAGGAGATGGAGAAGATCATTCAGCAGAGCTGAGAGAAGGCTGGACATGGAAAATACGTACTGCTTGCAACCTATCATATACCCAATACATGCGCCGTTCAACTGTTCACCGGTCTCCATTGTCGACGGGCTGAACAAGTACGATGTAGATCCAGGGTGTTGATCACGGAGCCAGCGCCGCCTCCAGGATGTCCTTGCGAGCTTACCATCGCCTAGTTGCACCGGCAGATGAAGATCGAGGTCTTCCTTGTTCATTTGCCGAAGCTGACTGTAGATCTGGGGACTATCGGTCTCGCAACCGAAACCTGCTTGTAATCGCAGTTGCCCTTCTCCACCACGTCTTCTGTAGTATTCCCCCGCTCAACACCGCTTGCCGATGCAACGCGATAGGGACGACCCAAAGAGCTCAGACTCAGGGGCGGAATGGGGACGGAATATGGGCGCGCTCGTATGGAAGCGGTGATGGGTCGCTGCCGTACTACTGTCTGCCTGACCGCAACTGAAGTCAAAATGGGCTGACATTGATATGTGAAAACAAGGTTCTGTGATATTGGCGTATGTCCATCTTCGCCCATGTCAAGGATGTCATGTCAGCCGAGTTTGCGATGGTATCGACGGGAATGCGCCTTTCATCGCCTATTCAACACACAAGAGACGCAAAGGAAAGTAGTGTGCACCCGTTTTTCACTAGAATGGAACGGTAATCAATTCGCGGCACTTATTGGCTCCTAAACGCTTGCTGATAGTTGGTCCGGTGGAAGTGCCGGTCCGTTTAGGCCAATCGTCATGATGCGTTCACGAGCAGTCAGTCATGAAGATCTTCGACGTGAAAGCTTCGGTGCATGATGCTCCCCGAGGTACAACACACACACACACACTCAGGAGTACATACATACATACATCCATACATACAGCAGCAAGAACGGCGTCCCCAAGCCAACCGCTGCAAGCGAGCTGCAAACTTGGCACCTAGGTACCTAATCAACAACCTCGTGCTTTGCACGCGAAGTTCCATCACGACGGAACCGACATGACCCTTTTGTCGGGATTGACCCACTTGCCAACGGATCCTTGGTGTATCATTGGCAACTCTTGTTTTCCAAACCCAGGGTGCGGTTCGAGTCCCTCTCACTCACAGCTCCAGTGACACGTCATGCCGTCTATCGTGGTCCCTGGAGGGTATCAAAATGTGTGGACATACTGCGGTCGTATTGCGCTTGTGGGGGATCGATGATCTCGCCTGCCTCGCGTTCGCGCCGTCGTCTCAAGGTGGCAGCCTTTTTTCATCGACCGCCTTTTTGACGACTTGGTGCTGACACCCATTATTCTAATTGTCCAATGTCTGTTGCTTCCGAAGGCGTGGTTCCTCGTCGGAGCTGACGCCGGTCCTTTGCAACACCAAAAAAAAGGTCCCAAATTTCATGTTGAACTTGTCTGGATCTTGGCCCAATCCCTGACCACCCACGAGTGACCAGTTCGCAGCCGTTCGGTTAAGGTATCCAGGGTTTCCGTGACTCTTCCGCTGTCGGAATGGATAGAGGCTTGCGAGATCCCTGTGGACCTGTCTTAGTACCTATGCCCTGTGGTACACAAGTCTACAACGGGTCGGGTCGGGTCGGGTAGGGTACCTCCCTCCCTAGGGGCAGTTGGGCAGTGGAGGAAAGGATGGAAAGGCTGCCGACCGCAGAAAGTGGCCGAGGTATCCAGACTCTACACTACACCACACTATCTTTTGTGGTGGCCGGAGTCGTCGCCGGTGACACCCACCAAAAAGGGAAACTGGCCCAAGCAACCTAATTTAACCAATGCGAGTTTATGTTGGCAAACGTGGGGAACGACAAGAAAAAATGGGTCGTTCATTGTCAAGTGCCCACTGCGCATATCTCCACCCCTACACCTTTGGACCATGCCGCGTTCTGTTCGGTTCGGATGGTCAAGAAAGTGTCATGAAAATCGCCCAAGTCGGGGATATGGTTCGGCATACAACCAGACCCCCAAGAGAACCTCCTCCCTCATGCTGACCATGGACGGCGGCTGGCAGATACGCGCGGCACACCTCCTGAAAAAGACCCAAAGTGATAACGATGAACAAGAGATTACCTACTCTCCAAGGATGGAACCCCCCCTCAGGGACCTTTCGGGCGATGGCGTTAAACTCGAATAGTGTATAAGTCGGACGTCAAACCCACCCCTTCCACCCGTTGAGTGAGCCAGTGAGGGGATTCATAGCTCCCAGTATCCATTACACTATTAGAGACGTTTATCCACAAAGGAAACTAGTCATTGCCCATCTCCACCACCAAAGGGCCTTCTCAGAAACTCGATATAAACGCCATCAGACACTTTCTTTTTTGCTTTTTTGTTTGTCTCTTGTCCCTGGATTATCCCAGTCTTCCATCTGTGTGTGGCGTGCTCGTCATTATTACATCAGTCAGTGTGAACAAATCACACAACACCACGCCTTTGTTTACTTTCTTCCATTTTGGGTAACCAAGCATCCACAAACACCCACAATGGGCTCCGTCTCACTCACGTTTTCCACCCTGCCCGCGGGCGTCAAGGTGCAACCAACCCCTTTCCGTATCAACGTTGCCGAGTCCGACCTCGCCCAGTTCCGGTCCCTCATCCAGCAAGCCATCATTCCTCCAGAGCAGTTCTACAACCAGCACGCCAACGCTGCCACGGGCAAATTTGGCATCACACGCGACTGGCTGATCCAGGCCCGGGACTACTGGCTCAACACGTATGACTGGCGGGCCCAGGAAACTTTCATCAACTCCTTCCCCCAATATAAGCAAACCGTCGTCGGCCCTACCTCCGGCCAGACCTTTGACCTACACTTTGCCGCCCTCTTCTCCCTCCGCGAGGATGCCATTCCCATCATCTTCATGCACGGCTGGCCCGGCTCCTTCTTGGAGTTCGTCCCGATGCTGGACATCCTCCGCTCGCGGTACACTCCCGAAACCCTCCCTTACCACGTCATCGTCCCTTCCATCCCCGACTACGGCTTCTCCTCTCGTCCCAACGACTCGGCCCTTCAAGAATTGAACATGGAGTTTGCGGCGGAAGCCATGAACGAGCTCATGTTGTCGCTCGGCTTCGGCAGCACCGGCTACGTCGCCCAGGGCGGCGATGTCGGGTACGCCCTCGCCCGCGCCATGGCCAACAACCACGCGGCCTGCAAGACTTCGCACCTCAACATGTTCATGTTCACCCCGGACCAGTTCGCCGCGTGCCAGCAAGAGCCCCTGACGGAGCGCGAGGAGAAGCTCCTAACGGGCACCAATGCGTGGATCAAGCAAGGGTCGGCATACGCCTATGAGCACGGCACGCGCCCGTCCACCATTGCCTTGACGCTCAGCACCAACCCCGTCGCCATGCTCGCGTGGATGGGCGAGAAGTTCATCGAGTGGTCCGACAACAGAAAAGACGGCGGCTCTCGCCCGCTGTCGCTGGACACGATCCTCGACGGCGTGTCGCTGTACTGGTTCAGTGGGTGCTTCCCGAGAACCATGTGGAGCTATCGCAGCCTGGTGCCGGCCATTGGCGCGACGGCCGTCGTGCAGGAGAGCTTGAGCGTGCAAAAGCCGTTTGGGTACTCGGCGTTCCCGGTCGAGATTGGTACCCTGCCGAGGACGTGGGGGAAGAAGTTGTTTGGGGACCGGTTGGCGTATTACAAGGAGCATGAGGTGGGTGGACACTTTGCGGCGCTGCAGGAGCCCGAGAACTTTTTGGATGATATTGAGGAGTTTGTGAGGTTTATCGCGCCCAAGGTGGGCTTGGCTAAGGGCGGGAAGAGTGCTTGAGAAAGATGAAAGATGGGATGGAATCAAATAATTATGTCTACCTGTTTACCTGTAGCAATGTTGTACACGAAAGAGATGGATGGGTTTTACTGCCAGTTTTAGACTACTGTTGTGCTTGGATATACCAGTCATTATTCCCATGTTTTTATTGCTGCTTTCTTGCTTTTTTTGTGTGTGTCTTTGTTGGCATGGCAGCAATGCAGTTTCCAGCAACCGGGTTCTTGAGTTTGTTGTTGTTTCCCCTTTTCTTCCTCTCGCAATTCCCATGGTGCTCGAACTGCCCACAACATCAACATCAACATGAATATCATGATCATAGGTAAACGTCACCATCATCTTCATTGTCGTTGAGCCCATGCAGCAGTTCGTCTTTTCATGCACCCCCATTCACACACTCCTCTCGCATTCTCTACAGTGTACCCGCCCAGTGCTACCACCCCCCATCGCTTACCTTCCACGCTGCATGTGTCCACTGCAACTCTGTGGACGAACACCGTAGGAGTTCCTTCCAGCAGCACCCTCAATCGCATGTCAACATCCTACCTTAGGTATCCAGGGCAGGCAGGTACACCGGCACGACGAAGCGAACATCCGCAACACCGCTGAATTAAGCAATCGGATTGGCCCGGATTGGACGCTCCTGCGCAGAACATAAGCGACCATTCTCATGCGGGCAACCCAGGGCAATCAATCAATCAATCAATCGTGCGGGGAGCAGCATCGAGTATTGTTTGGGATAAGTTCCTGAACTTTCCGACATCCATGCTCATCATCGCATGTTCATCATGTTTTATTCCATGCTTGAAATCGACCGACCCGATTTTGATCCTCGTTCTCGAAAGGAAAAGGAAACAGAACAAAACCCACCGACTGTTATCTTTGGAAAAATGAACTTATAATGACGTATGCCGGGGAAAGTGACGCGGCTACAAATCGGGGAGTGGTGGAGGTGAAGAAGAATGCCTGCGTATCATCATTCAGGCGGGGACTGTACCTCTTCTACACCACCCAAAACATGGAAATGGCTCGGGAAAACATGGTACGAGAAACATGACGATCACCGGATGGGAGGTGGAATTGTCATTTTGACTCGGATGCAGAGAGGATATCTGATCGATATCACCATGGGTTCTCTTCACTCAAATGTCCACTGATATTCGACCAGAAATGGGAATCCCGAACAAACACCGGAGAGCCAAGAGGAAAGCCGAAAAAGCCAAGCAATTTGAACATCTCCGCCCAACTCTCTTCTCCTCCCGTCGTCGTCCCGCTCCGAAGTACACTACACTAAACCAAGTGGAGTTTCGGCCAATCTAGCGGCGGATAGTTCCTTCAGCCCGAACGGCGCCGGCCCGCGTGTCTCGTCTCGAACGGGGACCACCCGGTCGGCAATTGCATTTCGCGATGAGGGTCTCGATACATGTATGAATCCAATGCTGTGTTGCTGGCGAGGGTCTTTCAAGTTTGTGCATTGACGGCCCAGCATATGGACAGGATGACACCAACAATTTCGATCAGTGATGTGCACGGTATGTAAACTCAAGATGAGCAACTGGAACCCCAGCCAAATCTGACGTCCCTACAGGTTCGATGGGACAGATACTCCCTACAATCATCCGAAACGAACGCATCTTCTTATTCTTCGGCGAGTGCCATCCCTGGCGGCTACCCAATGCAGGAACACGGCTCGACATCTCGCCTCAACGCCGTGTTTTTTCGACGTCTTCCAAAGATCAAGGCCATGGGCCTCAACGCCGTGTTTTTCTTACACGTATTGGGGATTACTTGACGGAGTCTTTGCCCTAGACGAGTTCTTTTCGCCCCGCACCCGAAGCCGACATCTACCTTACCGCAAGACCGGATCCGTACATCCACACCGAGGTAGCAGCCGGAGGACTTCCGGAGTGGACCCTTCGGGTCAAAGACCCTCTCCGCGAAAACGGGACGGAATGGCTGTGTTCCATCGAGTCCTACCTCTACACGCGCGAAAGTATCTCCAGAAAAAGATATAGCCGACTCTCAAACCACCAACGGCAGACCGGTGGTGATGGTCCAAGTCGAAAACAAATATGTAATATATAACCGGAAGTCAACGACACCCACTTAGGTTGCCCTCCCATCTCAACCGCGACAACATGCTTCCACCCAACGCCTTCTCTGCGAAGCCGGCATCGTTACGCTCTTGATACGCAACGACCACCTAGCCCAAGGCAATTGGACCCCTGGCTTGGCTCCGGACTGGGCTCCATCGACCTCTACGCCAACGACGCTTACCCCCTGCTCTACAACAGCGGCCACCCCAATTCACGTCGTAGCAATGAAACGATGATCCACGCAAATGGGTCTAAGGGTCTGGCGCGCCTTGCAACGACACAGTGTGGAAGCGTCACGATGGAGTTTGTGCGATGAGTTGGCCGGATCCAACGACGTGGTGTTCGGCAGCTGAGGATTGATACGACATATGTATAAAAGCAAAAGTTCTCGGAGACCATAACTCATCACTTGGTTCAACTTCCAGGTTGTATCATTACCACAAAGAGCACCGTCACCATGTCCTCCTCAACCACCAACGGCTCCAGCAGCCATGCCACCACCACAACCACCAACACAAGCGACATGGAGATTCCCACCATATTCGGCCTTCCCTGGGTAACCCCAACTTTCGACCCTTCCGTCACAGATGTTTGCCCACCATGCATACCTCTTCCTACCCGACCATTAACCCAGCCCTCAACCCCCTTCTCTCCCAAGCCGGGAAGACAGTTCTCATCACCGGCGCCACGGCCGGCATTGGCTTCGCAATGGCCAAGTCGTTTGTCACCGCTTCTGCTTCCAAGGTCGTCATCACGGGTCGAAGGCAGGAAAGACTCGACGAAGCCGTTGGTCTTCTCCGCCAGCACGCCAAGGAGCTCGGGAAGCAGACGGAAGTAGTCAGCGAAAAGTCCGATGCGGCGAACATGGAGGAGATTGATGCCTTGTGGAAAAAACTGGGAGAGGAAGGAGAGGTGGTGGATGTGCTTATCTTGAATGCGGTTGGGGAGATGGCGGCCGGGGGCCTGTGTGAGGAGGGGGGCAGGACGACTGTTGAGATTTGGGCCAAACTCGAAGCGAACCTCAGGGGACCGATGAGGTATACTGAGCTTTTTATGAAGCAGGGGAAGGACAGACAGAAGGTCAGTTTGTTGGCTGTTTGTATGAATGATGATTGCCAGGTTGGAGGAGAACAACGAGAAGAAGGGAGTGGAACGAACGGCACGACTGACGCAGAGAACACATGCAGTTCCTCATCAACATCTCCACTGCATCTGCCCACATAAGCTTTCCCGAGTACTCGCCCGCTCTTTCCTCCAGCCCAGAGTACGGCTTCACCAAGGCCACTGCTGGCCTCTTCTTTAGGTACATTGCTCAACGGTCAGACCCGGAGAAGATGCAGGTGGTGAGCATTCATCCGGGAACCATCTACTCGGAGTTGTGGCAGCGGCTCGGCGTGGAAAAGAGTGTCCTACCTTTTGATGATAGTAAGTTTTGCCCCTTAAAATAGCATGCTTTGAAGGAAGGCTACTGACAGAAAGGTCAATATAGTCTCGCTGCCAGCTGACTTTGTGGTCTGGGCAGCCACCAAGGAGGCGAGATTCATTCATGGTCGCTTTGTTTGGGCTAATTGGGATGTAGAAGAGTTGAAGGCCAAATATGCGGAGCGTTTCAAGCAGGATGCTGAACTGTTCAGGTTTGGCGTGTGTGGTTTGGCTGGGAGCAACCTCCATGTCATTCAATGATCGCGTTGACTGGAGGTAGACCAACCATGGAAGTGTTACCGAGGGGCATCAGGACCTCGGCACACCTTGGAACACTCACGATTGTACACAGCAAGACTCTCGAACTAGGAGTCAGACAACTTCTACACGATAGATACCCTTTCCATCATTTGTCCACGTGGAAGTTGACCGAAAGGCACGTAGAGGCAGCTGACTCGAACACCTCCCAAAACTCTCACCTTAACCACCAGCCACTAACCCCGTTCCCATTGGCGCGCATCTTGTTTCAACCTCAAGGTATCATCACAGATGTTCAAAACATGGGGAAGGTTGCAGTAAACACTTTTACCGGTTGCGGTACCACTCATACCGGGTTTCGAGGACTTGGCACTTACCCTTTGGTCGACGGTGACAACTCCGTGAACCGGATGCGGTATGTGCATGTTAACCACCGTGACCTCCGTCGACAGATCCATGCTTGAATTATTCTTGGCTATGACTTCACCTCCAAATATCAAAACCTATAGGTGCGCCTGACGCCTCGCTTTGACGCCAAGCTTGATGATCGGTCAATGCTGTTTCGTAATGAAGGAACAAGAATTCGGCAGTTGTTTCTGTGAAGGGACAACAGCTTGGGCTGAGGAAAAGGAAGAGAATGTGAGCTGGTGAAGGAGATCAAGTTCAACCACCAAAGTCAAGTCAACATGAACTGACGGCGACAGGAAAGATAGGTATAAAGCCCCCTCTGCTCCTTCAAAACTCACTCCCCATCCAACCAGAGCATCTCATCCAACCCATTCCAGCTCGTTTTCTCAGCCTCAACAAGCCAGCCTCCGAAAATGGCAGGCCTTCACTCCCGCCTCACCACTTTTCTCCTTCTCCTCCTCTCTGCCCTCCCTTTCATCGCCGCCGCCGCCCCCTCCTCCGGCTGCGGCAAAGGTCCCACCCTCTACAACGGCCAAACCGTCACCACCAACATCAACGGCAAATCGCGTCGCTACACCGTCCGGCTTCCGGACAACTACAACCAAAACAACCCCTACCGCCTCATCTTCCTCTGGCACCCACTCGGCAGCTCCATGCAAAAGATCATTCAGGGCGAAGACCCCAACCGCGGCGGTGTCCTGCCTTACTACGGCCTGCCGCCCCTCGACACGAGCAAGAGTGCCATATACGTGGTTCCGGACGGGTTGAATGCTGGCTGGGCGAACCAAAATGGGGAGGACGTCTCCTTCTTTGACAACATTCTGCAAACCGTGAGCGATGGGCTGTGCATCGACACCAACCTCGTCTTCAGCACGGGCTTCTCCTACGGCGGCGGCATGAGTTTCAGCCTGGCGTGCTCGCGGGCGAACAAAGTCCGTGCCGTCGCTGTCATTTCTGGTGCGCAGCTTTCTGGCTGCGCGGGCGGGAATGATCCGGTGGCGTACTACGCGCAACACGGAACGTCCGACAGCGTGCTGAATGTGGCGATGGGAAGACAGTTGAGAGATCGGTTTGTGAGGAACAATGGGTGCCAGCCGGCAAACGGGGAAGTACAGCCTGGTAGTGGAGGAAGGTCCACGAGGGTCGAGTATCAGGGATGTCAACAGGGTAAGGACGTGGTGTGGGTTGTGCATGGCGGAGATCATAATCCGAGCCAGAGAGATCCGGGACAGAACGACCCGTTTGCGCCGAGGAACACTTGGGAGTTCTTTAGCAGGTTCAACTAGAGGTTTGTGGGGAAGGAGGCAGTTCTGAAAGGGAAGGTGGAAGGATCAAAGGGGTGGTGATGATGTGGATTGGTGAGGGGCAAGGGGGAGGAAAGAGCTTTGGACTGAAGGAGAATAGTAGGGAGGAGACTGGTTGTTTTTTGCAATGGAAAATGTAAATCACCTCCTTAGGAAAGAAACACTTTTCGAGAATTGACCTCATCTGGACACAGAAAGATGCGCGAGTGGGAGAGGGGAATGTATTGTAGTCAAAGTCAAGAAAGAACATAGAGGTAAGTATGGCCACGATTCACTCGAGTGACGTTAAACAAATCAAGTACACATTAACCCCGTAAGCACACAACTGAAGATCATCTTTGGGCTCTAGTTATGTAGTAATTCCCAATAGAATAATCTGTCTCAACAAGTTAACACATGCAAGACGGTCGCCGTCCCAAACTCCAAGCCCCGTAGCTCAAATCAACCTCAACTCTCGAACCAGTCAACCATGAATCTCTTTAATGCTTTCACTTCCATCCTTCTCACACAAGTGGAAGCCGCCCTGGCAGCTCCTCTACTCCAGCGCAAATGCTTTTCTGCCTGTGAGAGTCAATATCCACGGCGACATGCGTACATCAAGGATGCTCTGTGAGACTGAGATAACACGTGGATTGAGTGGTCGGATCAACATGTGGACGTCTGGTGTCAACGGATAAGAGGTGTTTTGCGGACGAGGAGCTCATAATTTGTGCTATGTGAATAGTTACCTCTAGGGAGAAGGGAAAGCGGGAATGGCAAGACTGTGTGCGGGAGTTGACGGTATGTGAGAACAGCTGCAAGAAAAAGGGGCATGTAAACAATAAAATGGCGACAAGTCCGACTGACTACTGGGGAACTAGCAAAAGTTGTGTGGACCCACTATGTCAAGTCATGTCTGTTCACTTCTTTCTGCACAAAAGGTGTATGCCAAAAGTGAAAAAAAGAAAAAGATAAGGAGCAACTTCAGTAAAGAAAACTTCGAAAGAACACTGGAGTAAAGGCTTCAAAAAAGAACAACGAAAAAAAAAAGGTTGTTGGTGATCATCGTGCGACGTGGGCCTGATTCGAACAGACGCTCCCGAAGGAACAAGATTTCTAGTCTTGCGCATTAGACCACTCTGCCACCACGCCATCTCATTGGTTGATACAATCTTACCTGTATCAAAATCCTATGAGCCCGGCAGGTAAAGAAAGCGAGCATTCATCCCTCTCCTGAACGTCATTATTGACCATTTACCTTCCATACCTACCGTACATTCAACGCATTGTTTTCTGGTCCTTAGTTCAAAAGTCAATCATAACATGGTGGAGCCCCCCAACCTAACTCCCAACACGCATCCCGGCTTTTATGCTAGATGTAAGTCCCAAGTAACCGCACCGAGTCCGCCGCAACGAAATCCAGGAAATATTTCACTGTGACCCGTGCTTACTCCGACTAAAACGACACCACGAAACGGAAACTCCCATTCATTCCGGCTCAAACAGATACTCACGAAACCCAAGACAAAGACACGAAAGGACATCGATGATGAAACACCAACTGTAAGGAATTAAATTAACCGCTTACTACTATTTGTTCGCTTCTTCTCCAACTAACTAGATAGAGGGTACATAAGCAGGGCATTAATCGAAAGGATGATGATGATTGCCGGAGGGTATCGAAACAGGAAGTAGACTGTAGGTAGATGAGGTAGGTAGTAATAGCGAAAAGCCAGAGGAGGATGCAAACCAGCGGTGATGGTGTCGGTGTCGGGTGGTGGAGGAGGTGATGATGCTGAAAGCCAAAAAGCCAGAAAAAAGCAAACAATAAGAAGAAAAACGGCAAACTCCAGCCCACTCCCCGTGCGTGCACGTCCGACGTCGTTCCCCCTCCCCTCTCTCACCGCAGTCTCTGAAACGGGTTTCCGTGTCCAAAAATCGTACAGTGTATCTCCCTCTCTCCAACATCTGCCGTTGCTTGTGTATGTGTGTATATGTGCCTGTGTGTTCAAAGTGCAACCCGACCTTTTAACACCCGTCCATGCAGCTTATTGTCTATTGTCTATTGTCTCCCTTCTTTTTTTTCTTTCCCCGTCTTCTGTATCATGTTCTGACTGGTACAGATAACACCGTTCAACGACTCAAGGGATACTTTTCAGCACCTGCATTTTTATCTGTTAGAACCACATCTCATACTATTTCACCGACGAGAAGAAATAACAGGAAACATACCTAAAGAGTCGGGGGCGTAGCACTGATAGCAGTAGTCGTCAACGCAGGCGGGTGCGCGTCAACTGGGCTAGCAATCTTCTCATTGTCCTGCTCCTTCTCCTCACCCTCCTTGCCGTGGTCCTCCTTGTGGCCCTCGTGCTCTCCCGTCTGGTGGTGGCTATCCTCCACCGCAGGAGAGACATCAATCTGTGGCGCGTTCTTCTCGGCAGCAACCTTCTTGCTGTCCAGCGAGCTCTGGCTCACCGGCCTGGCGTTGGGGGTGTTGTTGTCGTCGTCGTCCTCTCCACCTTCTTGAGAAGCGCCGTTCTTCTTGCTCTTCTTGTCGCCCGATGGCTTGCCGGCGCAGTTGAGAGACTTGAGCGAGGCCATGAACTTCTTGAGAGGGTTCTCCTTCTTGGGCTTGTCGGCCTTTTGCTGCTGCTCTTGCTCGCCGTCGGCAGCGCCAGCCTCAGGTTGGTCGTCCGAGAGTTGGTGGTAGGCATCTTGGTGACCGGCGGCAACGGGCCCGTCGTCGGTCAGTTGGTGGCCTCGTTGCTGATCCTCGGACTTCTTGGAGGAAGCGGCGGACTTGGGCCTCTGATCTTGTTCGGCAGACATTTTGGTTGATTATTATAGGATGATAATATGTAAAAATGGGGGAGTCTGGAGTTGGGGGAGAAGCGAAAGCCGGGTGGGTGGTTGGTTGGTATAAAACGAATGGACTGGTTCGAAAGGGACAAGGAGAGAGAGACGAGGAAAGAACAGATAAAGCTGGGAAGGTGAAGCAATAAAATAAAACTCGACAATTCTTTCTTTTCCCAAAATAAAAAGGGGGAATTCCGTTCCGAGACGGATCTGAAATTACAGGTCATTTCAGACAACCGACGCCGGGTCCAGTGTGCGGTGTGCTAAATCCAGCAATCGAATTTCCCATGACTCCATCGCGACGTGCGAGGCAAAAGAGCGAGCGCCAAAATCAGATGTCGACAGGCGGTTTCCCAGGGCTAGTTCCAGGTACCAAGCAGGGGGGGTGGTGGACACCCGTAAACAAAACAAAACAAAAAAAACAAGGGTCGGGCCGGGGATGCATTGCAGCGTGGCATAGGGCACTAGAACACTAAAAGATGGCTAAAAGTTAGACCCTGAGCGGAACTCCGGTGGGAGGAAGTGGAAGCCAGAGAAGAAAAGTTCTAGCGGCAGCAAAAGCGGATGACCGCCAAGAACCTAACAAACACCAGCAGCAAGGGGGGGAAATCATCACCAGGGGTAACCAAGCGAGCAGATCCAAGGGGGGAACGGGAAATTAGCTCCACTACCAGATTGAGATCCGAAGCTTGTTTGCCAGAAGAAAAAAAACCAAGTTTCCCTCAAATTGGCCCTCTCCTGATAGGTTCCCAAAGTCAAACCAAACGATTGTTGAAATCTGGCAGATCTGATTACCTGATCTCGGGATCTTCATAATAGCGAGCGGTTGGGCTGCGACGTGTAAATCATTCACTGCTGATTTTGGGATCCAACTGTTATTCGCCATGTTAAAAGATGTTCCCACAACCATGGTATCTGATCTCGCGATCTAATCAAACAGCGGTGCGCTACAACTGGTGGTGCGATTTGTCCCCTTCTGTTGGTATGTAGTCGCTTCTTTTTCTGGTGTTCTGTCTCAGTTGCCTACCTGTAAGAGATGCAGTTGAGGCAACTCATCCCTTACTTTGTGTCATCCAGTCGTTCCGCCATGTGCTGAGCTGTTTCGGGTTTGGTGCTTGCTTTTGCTTCCATTCCAGACAAGGGCCAACTATGTCAGGGCCAGATGGCAACATGGGATAGACTGAGACTTGGGACTCGGGAAGACCGGGAGAGCGATTCCAGACCCCGTCAATCATCACTATCACCAGCACCATCAGATAGCCGACCACACCACATCAAAATTACGACTGCTCCTCCTCCTCCTCTTCATCCATGTCCTGCTCCTCCCCTTCCTGATCATCGACGTCCCTACCCCCAGGATTCCGCTGCCCCCTTGCTTCCCTCGTCTGCAGCTTCCGTCCAAAACTCTGCTTATCCGCATGCCCGACCCCCTCCCACGTCTTGGTATCCGGCAATCCATATGTGCTGATACCTCTCCCCCACGTTGTCCACGGGTTTGTCCACCTTTGCACCTCAGAGGGTATCTTTCCGTCCTTGCATTCTTCGTACTCGGCAATCAACGCTTTCCAGTCCCGTGGCTTGTCTCTGTGAATCAAATAACCTCCTAGGTGACGGTGCCAGATATCTGGAGGGATCTCGTTGTTTTTTGCGTCGCTTTCGCTTGCACGGTAATTGCCGGTGGCCGGCGGTGTCCAATGCGTGGCTAGTGAAAGGTAGATCTGGCGCTCGATGCCGCGGTGGCCAGTGATTGTCGTTAGGCGATTTATCCACCCGTAGAGATAGACGGAGCGGTTCAGCCTCGACAAATCTTGGGCAACGCCGAGGGCCATGGGCGGGAGCTTGCCCTCTGCGATGAGTGGGGAAACTTGTTCCAGTTCAATGTCGTCCACGATTTCAACAGGGAGGTGAAGATCATCGGGGATAGGGACGGCGGACCACCTCTGCAGTTCAGCCCGACGTTGTTCGGGGGTGAGACTGGTTGTTGAGAGGGGTTCGGAGCTTCCCTCAGGACTAAGCAGAGCGGGTGGCGCATCAGGAGGCAAAATGAAAGAAGCGCGCACTTCTTCCGAGTGTGTAGAGATCGACGCAATCAGTTGCCGGAAGTACTGAGCAGCCAGACGCGTTGTCACCAGCTTTCTTCCCCTCAGCGCAGGGTACAAGACCTTGGCGAGGATATCCTCACGCGGCACCAGCTCATTACTGTCCGTCGTGTGGTCCAATACCGACCGGGCAACTACCCTCTGCTGGAACTCGGGCTGCAAATCGACAAGGCCATGATGTAAATCTGTCACCAGTGACACTAACACGCTCGGATCGAGGTTCGCAGTGGATGTGATGCGGCCGCAATCATCGGCGACGAGGGGGTCGCGTTCGTCGATGAGGGCGGCCAAAGCGGTGTCAAGTGGTGGTGGTGGCGTGTCGGCGAGGAGGGGGCTGTTGGCGCAGCTCACGGTAACAGAAACGTCGTCGCCACCAATCTTTTCGCGGATGTAGCGTAGCATTCTGTCGGCGGGCTCGGACTCGCCATCGCGCAGGCCCGGAAGAAGGAGGTGAACATGATGGCAGTGGTTCCATCTCGCAGCCAGGATGACCTTCTTGATGGACTCGGCGAACTCGGTATTCCCCAGCGCTTCTTGGATGCCATTTCTCCCCGCGACTCCGTTTCCATTTCCATTGTATTGGTCCTCGCCATCATCGCTGTATGCTGGATCATCATCCTCCTCTTCCTCATCAGTCTCCCATCCATCCACGGCGATTTGGTAAGCGAGCGTCTTGGGCGAGATGGAAACAAATTTCAACCACGTCGCCCCGCTATCGATGACGGCGTCAACAACAATCGGCCTCTCCAGCAGAGGGTTATCTTTGTATGCCAACCACCCTTTTCCCGCAGGAACCGGCTGCTTCGGGCTCCGGGCAAACTCCTTATTGATGGCGACGAGGCCGCGACACTTTTTGATGACGGACCACCTGTCGTCCCAGCAGCAACTGCGCATGCCAAAGTACTGGGCGGGGGTGAAGAGTGGTTTTGGTTCGGTGCCATGTTCGTCTGTCGAGGGAGGAGGAGGAGGGGACGGTTGCGACGCTTTCTTGGCTTTGACCTTGTCGAGGGTGCGTTGCTGGACTTTGAGGAGGGTGTAGAGGCCGCGGATGGGCTTGGAAGCTGACTCGGCCTTTGTATGGAGCTGGGAGAGCTCATCGACGCAGGTCGTCCATCCGTCGACGAGGGCTTCGATACATTCTTGGAGAGCGGCGCCTTCAAGCGGTTCGCCGCGGTGTTCGTGATACAGCTTGGCGGGTGGCTTGTCGGCGTTGCTGGGGGATGGCGATGCTTGGGTTAGTGGTGGTGGTGCCCCTCCCTCGCCCTGGTTGTGCGCCGTCATGCCCGCCCGCGTAAGCCGTTTACGGTAGGACAGCCGGTCTTTGTGGTGTGATGATGTGTAAGGTAGAAGTATGCGAAATGCGGTGCTGGAGAACCACCAAAATGTGTCGAGGTAAAAGTGGAAGATGCCCGGGAGATGATGTCAGTGACACATTGGATGTGCGACGGGCAGCGCGACGGGCATTTGGTGGAGGGGTAGGTAGAGGTACCTAACAATTATTTCAGTGGGGCCAGCCCCATGTCAAGCAGGCAGCTGCTGGGAAACATTCGGCGGCATATGTAAGGGGTCAAATATCAAGGGTTAGGGTATTTTCAAGGGGCCAGTCTACGTGATGTTTCTCCAAACAACTGTTGTTCACATGGAAATGATCAGCAGCAACAAATATATGCAAACAGAAAAAGAAAAGGTGGAACTGGAAAAGGGTATATGTTTTTGATTGGAATATTATCAAGATCGAATACCCAAGTTCCAAGGCGTGCCTACGCAGTGTCCCAGCAGTGGGTGGCTGGAGCGAATCAAGCATACTACCTACAACCCTTCTTCGAATTTCTGCTCACTTACAACTGTGATAGCTTCGTTGTGAGTGTTGACAAGTAGGAAGCACCGGGCACGGGAAAACCCTGCCGTGGTGGTCTGCAAGACCTGCGCAACTATGGCCGGCAAGTACTACATGGGTTTACAAGGCCTACGTACTGGCCTGGCAAGCCGACCTCCTAGAGCCCGGCACAACTTACCTACGTTGCTTAGGTAACCTCCAACTCCCTCCCCTACACGTTTAAAGAAGGGCGGCCATGACTATGGAAAAACTAGGCATCGTCAGAACAGATATCCAAGGATATATCCCCAGCATCCGACAAGTCGGCCTCCCATCTATTCTACGCCGCAGAACCTCTATAATGCGCACCGCGCTCCCTACCTCTACCTAGGTAGACAATCCAAGTGCCTAGTATACCTATGTGAAGCCAGACAAAAACGGCCAGGTCAACAAAAAGAAAGGAAACCCTACATCGGCTGTGACTAGTAAAGCTATTTGATCGTTTAAGCTTAAAAAAAAAAAAAAAAAAGTAAGAAGAAACAAAGGGCCCGTGACTGGTCATTCCTCACTCATTCACTCAACTGTCGTCGAGCGTGCCAAATCTCTTGGGCCGCCGCCTGGTGCGCTGGGGCCTGGGGGATGACGGCCTGTTGGACATAGACATCTTTTTCTTTTTCTTTTTGGAGGGGGCGCCGTTACGGGGCGTGGCTTTTGTCACGTTAGGTGGCGCCGACGCAGGCGGCATGCTCGTTGTCATGACCGCCGCCGCCGCCGCCGCCGTCGTCGTCGTCGATGGAGAGCCGGGTCCAGGTGCTGCTTCTTCTTCTTCTTCTTCTTCTTCTTCTGGGGAGCGGGCTTCGCAGTCCTGCTGCAAGGGGGTATCATTTTCGACAGAGGGGCTCAACTCTGGTGGTCCTGGATGCGATTCCGGAAGGGGACCAGGGGGCAAAGTGCTGCCGGGGACGGGGTGGCTTGTCTGCTGCGTTGTCTGCTGGCTGCGACGCCGTAGACGTTCGTGCGCTTCGGCCAAGCGTGCCTCGTTCTTTGCGTGAGATTCGTCCCTGCAGTGCCTAAACGCTGAGACGCCTCTGCGGAACTGGTCAACGCTTTCCATGATGTGGTGTGTCTTGATATGAGTGAGATGGTACGATGGTTCAGGAGAGCCGGGTGTAGGTCGACCAACGCGCACAGCATATTGAGTAAGATCGCCGTATGCGCTGAACGTCCAGGCGTGTGCCTTGGCGGTGTCGTCATATTTTGGGTCGTCCACCCCAAAATTCTCGAGAGTAAATACAGCACGAGCTGCCGCGGCACCGCTGTAAGCGGCTTGGCGCTTCAATATATCGAGACGCCCGGAGGGACCTTTGACTTCCATGACAAAATGCGGCGCAGCCGGAGCGTTTAGTAGTATCGAAGGTTGAATCAAGTGGCCGATCTCGTCCCGGATTTCCCTGGCGATATCTGTAGTGCGGGCTCCATAAAACAGATCAGGCCGAGGGTCAACAGTGCGTTTTCCCGTCATCGATCTCAGGTTACTCCAGGCAATATTGCTACTGTTGGGGATATCCAAATGGCCCCCGAAACCAATGATGGCCGTGACAACATTGCGTTCCACGTCCGCTTCCGAGACCGCGCGACTATTGACTCGAATTAACCGCTCGATTCTGCTATCTGGGAACTCGAACGGTGCCAGCGAAGGCCTCACGGATCTTTCCCGTCGTAGTTCTTGGAGATCGGCGAGCATGGAGGGGTCTCCATGGATATGGATCCCGCTATCTTCCAGGATCGAAGGGAAGCCATTGGTGTATGCGCTGGACGACCTGTGACTGCCGGTTGAAGCTACAGACGTCGGGTTGGTGAGTCCCGAGCCTCGACCCGAGGATCGGAAGGTGTCATGCGATGCAAGATTGGAGGACATCCTGTTGAGCTTTGCCAGATTTTCGCGGGTTAGGCGAGTGTCGGTGCCTCGAGGAGCAGGTGGGATGGTCTGGGGATGGTCGGTCTTCGGTTCCAGGTCCAGCTGATGGGCGGCGGCGATATGGCCATGTTCCTCCTCCTTGATGGAGAGACGGTCGACCGGATGCTTGTCTTGAAGTAAAGATGGAGAGGGGCCTGTCCTCGCTCTCTTGGCCCGGGGTATTCGTGGCGGTCCGGGAGGAGACGGGGACGGAGATATCTGGACTTGCGTGTGTGATTGGCCTGGCTTGTGGCCTCTTGTTGCTCTTGTGGCTCGGTAGACCCGGGGGGGAGGAGACGGGTCACCTTCGCGTGGCCTTTTTGAACGTAGTCGTGGCATGTTAAATTGGAGGCTTGGATATCGAGCAGGGAGCAAGATACGTCGAGACGGACATGAGAGAAGGACGCGTTGGGCTTGTTGGTTGCAAGTTACTAGGTATGTACTTGGATGGCTGAAGGGTGACTAGCGCCGAGATTGATTGGGCTAACATGGGTCAACTCCCCTTGTTAGTATGCATTCCTACCCGGCGCTATCCTACCCTACGACGCACAGGCCAAGAACCGGGGACATGGCATGTTCATGACCGTAACAAAGTTGGTCAGAACTCACAACTATTCCTGTTAGTGATTTGCACAATCCCCTTCACCGAGATAATCCTTTGGAAACTGCCACGTCTCGTCGATGATATACAATTCCTTCTTGGAGTCACTGGATATTTTCAGAGATACCGTACCCATAAAACAGGCATATTGCCAAAAGGAATGAGTGATACAGTAGGGAGGCAACGAAAAGCAGACCGTGACATTTCTTCCGGTACATATCATGGCAAGTGCAACTCGTTTTCTGGCGTTGCTCACGGTTGATGGGTAGAATTAAAGGGAGTGGGTTGGTTGATCAGGCTGACTAACGGCTTACTACCGTGACCCACGGTTAAATACTGCACACCAGAATCCATCCACCACATTGCACCTTCCATAGAGGTAAGCACATTGGCGACACTGCAGCCTGTGAAGCTGTGAAGCGGGTTCCCCAGCAACAGTCCGTCATTCAAAGGGTTAGGGTATATCAGGAGGCGAGCGTAGAGGTGCCTCTAGAGGTCAAACAAGTGATCAACAGTTGTTTGAACATCAGCAATACCAGTTATGCTACGAGTAGGAAGGAGGAAAAGGTTCAATTTCGTGAGTAAAACTCTTCATCCATGGTATAGTTGAATTGGAATTACTTGGTTCCAATGTATGGCTGCGCAGTGTCCTAGTAGAGGTACTGAGTACAGGTGAGCAGATCAACGATGTGATCCTTCGTTCGGATTCTGCCCAGACCGAAGCTCAATAATCCACTCGCTGATTTTCTCTCACAACTATCTTGTACTCCATAGCTACCCTACGGCGCCATCATGTCTTCATGTTGATCAAAACCCGATGATGCTCTATTGATGCTCTCTCTCTCTCCCTGCCCAGAATTTCCCCCTCAAAAACTAGCCCTCCTCCTTCTCTCCCCTCCCTTCCTCATGTACCTCGCCCTCTCCACCATCTCCAACTCCAAACTTACCAGGAGAACCATGTGATTCATCATCATCCTCACAAAGTTCTCTAAGCGCATCTCTCCCCAATCCCTCCTCCAGCTTCCGTCCCGCACCATCGTGCGTATCACCTGCTGCCACCTTGACTCATGCTTCTCAGCCCTGGCATTCGCCCTGATCGCCTCCGTCGGGAATATGTCCCGATTGAAGGGATCAACCTCAATGTCAATGAGGTCCCCCTCAAACGTATTTTCCAACCAGCGCATCTGATGGCGTAGTATATAGAGCGCCAGGGGGTGCTCTGCAATGGGTGAAATGAAGAAGTGCCGGGTGAGGTGGCGCATGTAGTCCGCTTGGATGCGGTTGAGGGTTTGGCGGATGGCATCCCAGCCCATGTAGGCGGGGCGGCCCCAGTACATGGCGTCGAGGCGGTTGAAGAAGGGAGTGACGATGGACTCGAGAGTCGCTTGAGCTCCTGTTGAAAGAAAGACAAAGGGTCGTTAGAAAATGAAAGAAAGTGATCGAGTCCAACTTTGGAACTCGAAAGTTGAGAACAAAGTGAAAGACAAGGGGTATTGTTCGCTTGAACAGGGTGACTTACTCTCTCTGGATCTGAGTACTTCTGGCGGGTAGATAAATCTACTCGGCCGGGCGCCTTGAGGTGTGTGAGGCGGGTTGAAGGCCATCTTGTCCAGCTTCTTCTTCTTCTTTTGCTCTGGAAAGAAACCGTGAAAAAATCTTGAAAGCAGCCACAAGCAGCCCGAGCACACAACAAGTCAGGAAAACGCGAAGAACTTTCTGCCCATGAAGACGCCAGACGCGACGGAAGAAGAGTGCAGAAGGCCGCCAGCGCCAAGGAATGATGCGGTTGAGGATATCTTTGACAAAAGACAAGGCCGCCGAGTTGCCGGAGAGAGAGGTGAGGTTTAGAAGAAGAAAGAAAGGCCGAGTCCGAGGGCGGAAAGTGTACTGGGCGAAGGAAGTTGCTGCGAAGGCCGACGGAAAAAGCTGTTGTGTGGGTAAAGGTCGCAGAATCGCTTGCATCGAGCAAGTCGTTGGTTGCGAGAAAGATGTTAGAGAGGAGAAAAAGCCGTACATACTAGCAAAATGTCGAGGCTTTTATACCCTGAAGATGGTCCAGGATACCGTTTGTCGAGTGGTGGATGCCTATTCAGACAGAATTGGCGCATTCGTATTCTGTTCGTATTGTGATCTGATTTAAATATGTCGAAGTGCGAAGCGACGGCTGTCAGCGGAAATATATAAGTTCACAATCGGATGAACAGCAAAACAATGGGATGAACAGTCGAATAGTACGGAACCTGAAACTCAACTGCAGTGAAGGGCAGGACTACGTGATGCTAAACCTGTATTTCAAATTCAGATGATAATAACTGTGATCATCGAACACTTTGGCAGGTCGGGGGTTCTGTTGTTGTTCGTGAATTATGGTTACAACGAAGAAGTGACAAGCTTGAATGAAGAGAGATTCGAAGTCTGACGCCAAAATGAATCGCGCAGATACCGTTGAAATCAGTACAAGAATGCGTTGACAGCATACCAGCACCGCAGAAAGTCATGCACATTTTCCCTGTCATCCTCCTCATGCGAGTCTAGCTGTAACTAATGAAGTGAGCTGCTTTCTGGTAGGTAGTGTTTGTAGATCTGTGTCGTGAGAAGTTACGAGCACGAAGAGCAGAGACCAAGATAGATTGTAGAGAACATAAAGATAACTTCCAGAAGTTAGTTTGTTGCACGAAAAGGCACAGTTTTCCGTTTGATTCAAGGAAAACGGAGTTTCGAGATAGTGCTGGACAAGATTTACCCCTTCGAGGAACGAGACAAAAGTCAGAGTACCTCTAAAGGTTGAGCGTGTGAGAGCAAACGAAGCAACTCAGTACCTGTAACGACTTCGATTAGTGAGGAGCGGATGGTAGGAACGAGATAACGGACAAATCACAGCATGATCAAGGTGTATTTTGGACCTCAGAAAGACAGATCGCGAGGTAGGTAGACATTGAGCTATATGTAGGAGAACGAGCATGAGAAAACGGCCTCAATAGCCATAAAACGAATGCGGGAAACTGGCACTTCGAGCTCGGAGGGGATTGAGAGGGGGACTGGAAGCTCGAGCAGAACGAACAGATCCGGTGTGGAGGAAGGTACAAAAGGGATGCAAGGAAAGACGAAGGTGACATAACAGGTATGAATACAAACAGGATGGATCATGGAAGCAACTTCAGGTCGGGAAGAGGGAGAAATCGGACGAAACTGAAGCGAACGAAATGATGAGACGTGGAAAAGGGAAAAAAAGTCGATCCTCCAGAAAGGGTTGAGCCCTAAAGCCTCGACACTTGCTCAAGGGAAGTCGCGAAGGTGCGCACAAAACGAGAGCAGATGTGTCGTGACACTGAAGGGAGGAAGGTGCGAGTTTCAGGATCAATTTCCCGCGAAAACCCTCATCGGAACAAAACACCAAGACGAGCACCTCGAAATCCTGTCCAGCATCACCACCCTTGTCGTCGATCAAGTAGTAAGAAGGATTTGTCATGACCGATTCGACAGTGTCCCTTCTTGTCTTCTTAGATTTCTTATGTCACTGCTGTTTTAGCGGACTTTAGCCGTCACCCTCCTGCCTGCCGAAGAATGTCCCGCTCCGAGCAGAACCAAACACTGCAACGACACTCGCGGGTAAAATGCCATCCACAACACCCATTTAGGCAATGAATTAGATCCAATCAAGTCTTTTGCTTGATAGTATTCCTAGATGACTTTAGTATTGTAAGGCGTATGACTATGATAGTGACGTGACGAGTGTCTTGGACACGTTTCCTTCCAGCCCAAGTCAGCATGTGAAAGACAAAAGAACATCACCCATCCGTCTGCCCCTAAAGACTTCGCTCACTCGATCAGATTTTGCTTACCATCAGATCGACAACTCTCGTCATCATGGCCTGGCTCACCCGCGCCCTTCTCCTTGGACTATTTGCTCAACTCGCCATCTCAAAGACGAGCAACAAGGACGAACCACAGCCAGCTCCCGTACCCAACGCCAAAGACGGCAAGAACCTCACCAACGAACAAATGGACAAGTCCCAAGTCGTCTACACCTCCAACACCACCTTCTCGGATTCCAACAGTATCCCACCCACCAACGGGTGGTGGTCCTCCAACATTTGCTCCCAACAAACCTACTGCATCTACACCAATCTTGGTCTGGGCCACGGGCGAGGCATCGTGTTGCTCACCAAATATGCCGATTTTCAGAATATTGCGCGGTTAGATCAACATCTCGATGAAGCCGAGGACCGGATCGAGGCTTTCACTACCAGGACCACCACTCCAGAAAGAGCGGAAGCAACCGGAGCAAAAGGGAAAGAAGACAGACAACGAGAAGAAGAAAAGCCCTTTTCAGAAAGTTTCATCCTCTCCAAAGGCCCCGGACTAACCGCCACCATTCCCCTTCGGCGCGGCAAGCCCTTGATGAGCGCCGCCCCAGCGCTCTTAGTCCACAAGGACTTCTTCGCCGATATCTGGCGCAAATCCGAGCGAAACAAGTTACTCGAGAAAGCCGTCTCCTTCCTCCCTCCCGCAACGCGTGAAGCCTTTGACAAACAACGCACCACCCTCCTCTCCCCAGACCAAAAAGAAAGAACCATCGAGCAAATCCTCCTCGCCTCCCCCTTTGAAATCGACCTCGGTTCCAATTCCTACACCCCTCTCGGCCAAGAATCACTGCAAGCCAACCACTCAAAGCACTACATCAACTACCCATCCATGTCCCTCTTCACGCACTCCTGCCGACCTAATATCGCATTCCACATCGACAGGACCTTAGCTCTGCGGACGACCGTTGCTCGCAAAGTTGCTCCCGGGGAGGAATTATCCATCGCTTATATCGACCCCTTGCTTCCGCGCAAAGAAAGGCAAGAGTGGGTAGGGAAGTACCGTCCCTCCTCCTCCTCCTCCCCTTCCCCATCTCCATCCCCCTATTGCCCGTGCCCCTCTTGCACAGGCCATTCCCCCTCTCTCTCCAAACCCCACGGCAACCCCCACCCCTCCTCCCCCATGAGTCCCTCCCAAGAACTTTCCACCTCCTCCGCCCGCCTCGCCTCCCTACACCGCATCCGCTCCTTACTCCGCAACCACGACTCCCCCGCCGTACCTCCAGAAACAATCGAGTACTTCCTCAAGCTACACCTCGAAGAAGGACTGGAGAGTAAAATGGCGGAAGCGTACGAGTTGGCTGCCACCAACTATAATTACCTCGGACAAGAAGACGACAAAAAAGCAAAGAAGTATGCCGAGTTGGCGGTGCAAGCGGCTAGGATTGAACACGGAAAAGATGCGAATGAGGTGGTGGCTATGAGGATTATGGCGGGGGATGTGAGGGGGCATTGGAGTTGGGGGTATAAGGTTCGAGGTAAGAAAGTGGGGGGTGGGTGACCATGGGGTTAACTGGATAAGTTGGTTGGTGGAAGGAGAGGGAAAGAGGAAAAGAAGAGGGAGGAGGACGAACGAGAGTTTGCTGTGTGGATGGGGTAGCTTGATGATGGAGAGGGAGATGTCAGCATTGAAGGGTGGTGTGTAGAGGTTTGGTACCTCTATGCAGCTGGGAATGAATACTGGGACGGAGTCGGGGGGGATGGGGTATACTTATTGAGGTTGGGTATTGTTGACTCTGACTCTAACTCTGACTTTTGGGGGGCGGCTGCGTTTTTGGGGGATATCTGTGACTGTCTCGACGACAGGCGTGGTAGTAATTGCTCATTGTTGTAATTCTTGCTCACCGGTGATGTTAGTGTTTTGAACTCGGGAGGAAAACGATAAGAAACCAGTTGTGTTGATAGCTTTGTCACTGCTGGTGCTAGGAGTGTGCCAAGTCCCCGCGTGGCCAAGCGTTTGACTGATGCGCGCAAAGATAGGTAGTATCTTGACAGCCTTGATACATTATCAACTTCCAAAGAAGTCAAGTTGAGAAGCGATATAGGTTTTTTTTTTTTGTTTTATCCATGGTTTCAGGGATGTGAACAATGTGGAAAAAATGTACGTGAATTTGGCTCATGACAATCGGCGCCATCATCTGGCAGGACAATGGAGTGGACTACCATGTGAGGGTCCGGCTGTGCGGCTGTATGCCGTCCCGAGGGGACTATCAAGTCGAGGGCAGACTTCATCAATGAAGGGGGATAGAGATGTTAGTCTATCGAGTAGACGTTTCTTTTCAAGAAAGGAAGCCGAGGAGCGTCAAAGAGACAGGACAATGAATGACAATGGGGTACAGAGGCAGCAGAAAACAGTGGAGATAGTTCACTAACAGTAATCCCCGCTACATCCACTCATTCACGCTAGTCACATATCACTTAAAGCACTCCAAAACTTCCTGAAAAGAACATGACTCATAAACATTAGGTATCATAATTATCATAAGTACCGACTTCCACCACTGACTGCACTTAGTACGCAACCATCGAGTGCAGGCCATCCAACTCTCTGTCCCAATTCCTGTGCTGGGCAATAGCATAGAAGAACTCTCCCAAGAACCCAGCAGCGCCCTTGGCAATCTTGACGGCATCTGTGAAACTCTCAGGCTTAACCTTGTTGAGCGTCACAACACCATAGCTTTCATGAACCTCCGCCTCGCTGCTAACTGTGACCTGAGGCAGAGCAATCGCCTTGGCAACGAGGTCAACCGCCTCGCCGGTAGCACCAATGGCCTTGAGATGACCAAACGCCTCACGGATCCAGTGCAGAGCACGGCCGTTCTTGGAGAGCGTCTCAGCAGCCTTGGCCCCGCCGGGAATGAAGATGGCGTCCACCATGGTCGAGCGGAAGCCCTCGAGGTGGTGGTGGGGCTGGACGGTCGAACCATTGGCAGCAGTGACCTTGGAGCGGCGGGGGCCGATAACAAGAGGGATGGCCTGGTTGGCAGAAATAGCGGCATAGGCAGCGTCATAAGCAACGTTGTCGTAGCCATCGGCGATGATGATGGCAACACGGCGGGACTTGATGGTGGGCGTCGCAGGCGGGAACTCGGTCTGGCTGAGGTTGATGGTCTTCCTGCCGTGGTTAGGGTGGTTGGTGGTAGTGGGAGCCTCGCCGCCAACCATTTCGGCAATGGTCTGAGCAAGACCAAGATCGATATCGGCCAGACGCTGAACCATGCGGCCGTAGACAACAGGATCCTCGCAGTGGTCGAGCTCGAAGCCAAATGCGTTGATCATGTGCTGCTTCTCAATCGGCGACATCGAGTTGTAGAAGAGCTGGGCCTGGCTGAAGTGCTCCTTGAACTTGGCACTGCGGGCACGGGCCTTGATACCGGCGACCTTCTCGGCGTACTCGAGGTAACCGCCTTCCTTGAGGGAGGCGGGAGGGCAGGCGTCGAAACGGTTGGGGTAGTAGTTGACGGTGCCGCGGGAGATGGTGTGGCGCATGGCACCATCACGGTTAAAGTTCATGACAGGGCACACAGGGCGGTTGATGGGCAGCTCCTGGAAGTTGACACCAAGACGGGAGATCTGGGTGTCAAAGTAGGAGAAGTTGCGGCCCTGGAGAAGAGGGTCGTCGGAGAAGCCAATGCCGTTAACGACGTGGCTGGTGCAAAAGGCAATCTGCTCGGTCTGGGGGAAGAACTCGTCGGGGTTGCGGTTCAGCTCCATCTCGCCAATGTAGCGGACGGGGACGAGGTCCTCGGGCCAGATCTTGGTGGCATCGAGGATGTCAAAGTCGAACTTGTGCTCGTCCTCCTCGGCAATAGCCTGGATACCAAACTTCCACTTGGGGTAGGCACCGTTCTCGATAGCCTCCCAAAGATCCTTGCGGTGGAAATCGGGATCCTGACCAGCCAGCTTCAAGGCCTCATCCCAAACGAGGGAGTGGACACCGAGCTCGGGAGTCCAGTGGAACTTGACAAAGTGACGCTTGCCCTGGGCGTTGATGAGAGTGTAGGTGTTGACACCGAAACCCTGCATCATGCGGAGGGAACGGGGAATGGCGCGATCACTCATGGCCCAGGTGAACATGTGAGTGGCCTCGGTGTGGTTGAACTGGAAATCCCAAAAGTTGTTATGGGCGCTCTGGGCCTGGGGCACCTCGTTGTGGGGCTCGGGCTTGCCAGCGTGGATGACATCGGGGAACTTGATGGCGTCCTGGATGAAGAAGACGGGGATATTGTTGCCAACCAAATCCCAGTTACCCTCTTCTGTGTAGAACTTGACGGCGAAACCACGGACATCACGGACCGTGTCGGCACTGCCTCGGCTGCCGAGAACGGTAGAGAAGCGCACAAAGACGGGGGTCTCGCGCGAGGTATCGGTAAGGACAGGGGCCATTGTGAGGTCGGAGGCGCTCTCGTAGACCGTGAACTTGCCAAAGGCACCGCTGCCACGGGCGTGGACTACTCGCTCTGGGATTCTCTCGTGGTCGAAGCGCATGATCTGCAGGAAAGGGGTTAGTGGGCGCAAATATATAAAAGGATGGAATTATTGTGAGTATACGTACTCTTTCACGGGCAAAGGGGTCCTCGAGCAGAGAAGGACCAATCTTGTCGTCGCTGACGATCCTCAGCCAGTCGTCGGCCGTGGTCTGCTTGACACCATAGTCGGTGGTGAGGCGGGCATTCTTATCGGTCTCCTTGAACTCGTTCTTGAGATCGTCCACCTTCTTGCTGCTGGGGGCACTGGTGAGGGCCTCCTTGGCCTTTTGGCCGGCCTGGCTGATGATGTTGGACATGGTGGGATTCGACTGCTGGAGAATGTGTTCTGTGGGTGGTTCTGCTGCAGGATCTAGGGGAGGATAATGCAACGCGAGTCGTTGCATGAAATTATTACGGAAAGGGCAGGTAAGATGAATAAGGAGGAGGAGGAGGAGGAGAAGGAGTAGGAGAAGGAAGAGACAGAGACGGATGAACTGGGAAATTAAAGGATTTCCTATTTCTAAGGTATCAGATGAAAGAACGACTGCTTCCCAAAGTCATGTTATACTTGCACATCTTTACCTATGCATGACGTCAAAGAACAAACAAATGCTGTCAGTGCATTCGTTCCCTCTTCTTCCCGTCCGTCAGAGATTGTGATGGCTCATCGACTCCCGTCCCAGTCCAGTCCCAGGCATTCATAGGTTCGCATGACTGTTCAAGATTTCAAAGCCAGGAACGGACATTTGTCGGAGAACCTCGATCGATAGTTTGCCTTGTGCCTTCCTGTGATTTGGGAAACTGTTCAATGATCGAGATCTCTCTGCTGTCAAAAGGAGGAACGAACATGGGAAAGCACAAGGACAAAGTGGGGCAAAGTGATCGGAAAGGGAATGGTACCTACAGCGAGTCCAAGTTGGTGATGTCATTGCTAAGAGATGGGGGTGGGGTTGAGCCGGCACTTTCCAATCACGGCTTTTCTGATTATTGCTTGAACCGGCAGTTGCCAGAGATTGTGTACACTACGTACCTTGGGGAAAAGGAAAAGGCGGAATAGTTCCATGCTGATCGGCTGCAAAAACATGTAGTCAACAATCACGGGCTGTCAAGTGGATGATTTTCTGCAGATTCCCATGGTCCCAGGTCCTCTTTACAGAGAGACGCCATGTTAGGTGTGAGGGTGGATGGCTGATCACTAACGCAAGAGGGTTACAGGCCACATACCACTCTGTTAGTGCAGTCACCTTTATCTTATCGCGTATTACTACCCATTCCAGCTCCAGCTCATTCGGGTGGTCATAGCTCCTTGCGTGAGCTTTCCTGTTTTCTCTGTTCTGTGACTTTGCCACACTGCCGGTATCACAGCCCCAAGCCAGCACAGCCATTGAGTGATCTTCACCTTTCGACTTGGATACTCGCTTCTTTCCCTGTCAAATATGGATATCGAGAATCTTTGAATCGGCCATCCACTTCAAACATGCACAAGTCAACATGCCCATATTACTGACTTTGCCTGTGCCCTGGCTACCAGCGAGTTGCCCCAACCGTCGGGTCCGGTCGGTGGCTGTCGCTGTTCCCATCGTCTTGTTAAAGAGGAAGCAGGTTGGTACGTGCCCTGTTTACAGAACTTGACGTTTTCTCAAGCTACGATATCTCTTTTGGGTGTCTTCGACCATCATCTTGCAACTCATTGATTTCCTTTTTGGTGTGGTCTGGCTGATGCAGTTGGTTCCGTTGTGTCTTTGAGCTAACAGAGCCCAGCCTCAAGCTGCCCTGTGCGCGGTGCTGTAGGTATGAAACAACATTGCAGCAGGCTTCTGTCACTAACAACTAAGCTTCCCACATCAAGAACGGTCAAGAACACCAACACTACCTTCTTTTCTCTTCCCTTTCCCGAGACATTTTCTGCCTTGATGCAGCTGGGAGTTGAGACAGCCACACCCGACATTCTCTACTCAGTGAGCAGAATGGAATACCCACCTAGAGGGCGTTTTCGGGTCCCTTGATAGCAGCACTTCCAAGTGGAAGATGTCAAGGCCATATCTACAGCCTTAGCATACTATCCAAGGTCGTCGTCCTCCAAGTCCCCTTACCCTGCAACAGACAAAGTTAGGTAATGTACCCGTGCGTCTACCCATACCGTGGACCCGGCCCCATATCCACCTGGAAGAGGGACCAAAGCCACCTCTGCCTGCGGATGACTTGAGATGATGGACGGGCTACATGTGAGGTTGCGGCACAGAGAAAAGGCCTTACTCGCGCTTGGGGAGCAAGTGTGCCTCTTGGATGCCTCTCTGGACGGGCAATGGCCTCCCCAGGCGCCTTTTGATGAGGTATCCCGACTTGGAGTGAAAAAGAGGCTCAAGTCGTCAAAGTTCACAAAGGCAATTGTGACAAAGAAAATATATTCGAACATGGCCGACAAACAAAGTCATTCTCGGGCATGCAGGTCGACCCACATTGTCCGACACCTATCATTCGCAGACACATGGACGCTACTGCATGGTGGCCCACTGGTTGATGTCCTGCATGTTAGGTTGAGTTTCGGTGCTGTCGTCCACTTCGATTCCCTGTCGTCAATCGGCCACTGGGCGACGTTATAGAGGCAACAATACGCCATACGATGGTGCCCTCACTGCCCTGTTATGCTTTGTTTTGAAGTTGGTAGCCATACTACGCCAGCCCCAACCAATGGAATAGCCGTCGCAAACAACAAGCACACATTTTATAACAAGCGAAACCCCCGACATCCAAGTATAGAGGAACGTTGCTTGCTTGCCCACCAAGGCTTGGCCCGATCAAACCCCACTCCGCTTATCCCACATCACGCCCGGACCAGTCACCCGATTCCTAGACTGTCATTCCTTCACTCGCTTCCCTCAAACCCATCGTCAGCGCCCAACTCCGGCGCCTCATCCCGGTCAGACAACACAATTGAGAGAGCAATTAGACCATGCCTACAGACGCCTCCGACACGAACCGGCGGCCCTCAGCCAAGAGGTGGTCGACCACCGAGAGTCTGCGCCGCGGCAGAGGCCCTCCGACATGCCGCGTCCCTCAGTGTAGAGACACGGCAGTACCCATTGCTGGAGCCTTTGATAACGAGATCCTTCTCTCCCTCTACTGTAAACGACGTATGTAAAGTATTATCTATCTTGGCTTCATCTCATACTGACAAGCGCCACTATAGACACATGCCGATGGGAATATCCGCCCTACGACAGGAGCTGTTGCCCCGATCCTGTAACGTCAGGGCAAGACTTGTGTGATCACCGTAGGAGCCTCACCACACTTGCTCTGTTGCCATCATGACCCTGATCTTGGCTGACTATCCCTAGACGAGCAACTTCTATCATGCGCATGCACGACGGAACCGTGTTTGCAAAAGAGGGACTACGAAGAAGTTGCCGACAGTGTCGACCCAACGGCCCCTTGGTTTTGTTCTACTCATCGATGCGGCCAGGATAGGTGCGATAAGGAAGGTACCGGGAGTGACCAACACAATCGGCGATGCGACAAGCACAAGCGATGCGATGTGCCCGACTGCATGTCACCACCAGACGTTCAAAATGACAGCTTCTACTGCAAGAGACACACCTGCAGAAGCGCCCATTGCCCCAACGTCGCCAAGAAGAACAACCTTTGCACGGAGCATCAGCGATGTGTGCGCGAAGGGTGCAACAAACCTCGATATTGGCCCGACACTGGACTCGATGATCTGGATGCGCCGCCATTGTGTGAAACACACTTCAAACAGAAAGCTCGATGTGCAAACCCAGATTGCAGCCGACAAAAGGAAAACGGACAGGGCCGGTACTGTTCCGAGCATGAGTGTAAGTCCGGAGGGTGCCCAGTGGAGAGAGACAGCTTTGAAAGTCTTTACTGTCACAAGCGTAAGGTATCCTACCAACCAAGTGTCGTGGGTATTAGCTAACCAAGTTGATAGATCGCTGTAGGAAGGACGGCTGTCCCAACCCTCTTGTCAATGGCTCAAGCACCGGCACCGGCATTTTTTGCCCGCAACATACCTGCAAGTTCCCATCATGTCAGCAAAGCATCGCCAAGGCCAACTCTTCCCATTGTGAGATTCACTCATGCAGCAAGCCAGACTGCCCCAATCCCGCCGACATCATCGGCAGCTCGAAAACCTCCGGGAAGCCTGTCCCAACCCTCTGCAAGCTACATAAATGCAAGATTGCCTCCTGTCCCGAGGAAGCGATACCCATATCCGACACCACAGCAGGATACTGCCATGTCAAGCACGAATGTATCGAGGACGCCTGCCAAAAAGGCCGATTATACGACGACCAAGGAACACCCTTTGAGCGATGCGCCGATCATGAACGGCAACGGTGGAAAGATGCGGGGAGGAGAGACGCTGAAGAGGCGATGGAGGCGGAGGATGCCGCCAGAAAGAAGAACGAGTTGAAGAAGGACAGGCAACACGCTGAAGAGAAGGACGCATTGAAAGACGAGATCAGGCAGTTGAGGGATATCATACACGGACCAGAGGGCATTGAGACTTTCAGGCAAGAGCTGGAGGATTTGAGGGCGGAGACGGCCCGATTACGAGCAGAGAACGAGGGGCTACGAGCAGCCCATGACGCGCACCAAGCGCGGTTACGCAAAGGGCGAAGACCCTCCATGGCAGCCACCAGCCCCGGATTCTACCCCAACGGCATTCCGACTACAGCTCCCGGACCAGGAGATTATCTTCCGTTCAGGCCACCGGACGGCCATCCCCTCGCAGGTCCAGGCCCCATGCCCATACCTGGGATGAACGGCAGCAAACCAGGGAGGGAATCCCCTGTTAGCCGCAGCTTTCGTGGTAGTAACGTATGGGACACATCCCGGGACTCTCTCCTCTCACATCAGATGTACGAAGATCACGAGTACCCCTACTACTCGGAAGAAGACAGAGGCGGAACACCAACAGACATCTCGTTCGACCACAACAGCGAGCTTGATCCCACGCAACAACCTCAACGGGGTCGTATCCGAGATGTCCCCGTGGACTGGCGAGACTCGCCCACGCCCGGGCGCGAGCCGCGTGGTAGAGAGGCTAGAGAGATGAGAGATAAGTCGAGAGGCAGAGTCAGAGGCGGCACCACCGACACAATCAAGGAAGGTGAAGTGGTCGTAGGAAGTCCAAGGGACAAGAGCAAGGCGAGGCGGACAAAGAGCAAACACCGGACAAGCGGGGGGTATGGGGCTTATGATGCCATGAGGAGACGGAGCGGTGCGGGTTTGAGCCACCAGTGGCATGGGGAAGCCACGCAAGTACCACAACCACCACCGTTATCATCAAGGAAGTCAAAGACGTTTGGAACGGGGAAGCCGAGGCTTGTAAGTATGGCGGGGAGTGTACCTGATGGGTTGTATGCTGGAGGAGGATATGCTGGACATGCTGCCCCGGGACATATGGGATATTGGGGGCCGCGGGGACATGGGGAGTATTATGACAGTGAGGAATGAGATGGGAGGTGAGATTACGGTAGAGGTATATTGGATAGATATGGATGTCATTTTGATGTCTCACCCGCCTGTAATGATGGTCGGAGTGTACGTCTAGTTCGTTCCCTTGCATCATGCTTTGTGGAAGTCTGGATGTTTTGTCGCTGACCGTTACTTCCCGAATCCCGATGACCATGATGATTTCCAGCGCGACACTTCCAGTTCTGCGTCCCCAATCTCACTTTCCTCAGCAAGAAAGAAATACTCGGTCGTACGAAGGATTAGATATTTTCCCTGTTCGGTTCCTAGAGGTAGAGAGGACCCGACAAGATCCATTGCCGTGAACCATATCTTACAACAAGCAACACTAAATCTCCATCTCGCAATCCGACCCAGCATCACGTCCTCGTAGATTCCTACCTCTACTGCTTTCTGACCTCCTTCGTTGATCCGTGTCCGAGTCCATGATGACTGTGTCCCACCATCTCGCTCGGTTGGGTCCATATGGACCTGGGCCAGTTGAACTATCAGCTTTTTGGCGGAGTTAGCACAGAGCCGTGGACAATTGAAGGGTGGGGGTTGGAAGAACGGAAAGACTCACCCTCACTTGGTCCTGGACTTGCTCGCCCGGCACTTGATTCCGCACTGAGGGTTGTTGAACTCCATGTTGGTTCCTCTTGTTGTTGTTGTTGTTGTTGTTGTGGCTGTCCTCCTGCTGATTCTGATGCTGCTGCTGCTGCCGCAACTGCTTGAGCGGCGATATAGCTTTGTATTTGACTTTGCGGTTGTGGTTGTAGTTGTAGTTGTTGTCCTCTTGCTGTCCTCGCAGTTGTCGTTGAACTCCTTCTTGACCTCCCATTGTGATGTCCTTGTGCTTCTCCCATCACTACCTCGCCTTGCCCTCCTCCTCCAACTTGCATTCCCTGATTCTGACTCTGACTCTGACTCTGACTCTGACCAGCAGAAGCAGAAGCAGAAGCAGAAGTTGAAGTAACCATCAAATAATTCAACCTCCTCCCTACATCCCCCCGTCCCTTATCCAGTTTAACCTGCACCGTCCCAGTCCTCCCTGTGCCTCTTCCTTCTATCCCCTCCCCCTCCCCATTTCTACCCCCCCCGTTCCCCCTCCCATTCTGTATCCCATTCCCTCCCCCTTTTTGTATCCCCCCCTCACGTACCGCAAGCTGCCCCCTCCTAACCCCCTCCACAAACCCCCTCACATCCTCCGCCCTAACCCACTCAACATCCCCAACCAACTGCTTCGCGGTACTCGAAATACTAAACAATTGCAGCTCCACCTCATTCATCTTGGCCACTTCCTCTCGTAAGCGAGGGTACATCTTCATGCACTCCGCCAAATCATTGCATTTGTCCAGTAGCGAATACCGCAACTCGTGGTCGGAACTGAACAGGACAGCGGCGTGCGCGAGCCGTTTCCAGATTCGTTGGCGCGCTTTGAGGGCGTCGAGCTCCGCGGATAAAGAGGCGATTAGTTGGTTGGTTTGGGAGTAGGGGGGAAATAAGGTGGTGAGGAGGTGGGTGGCTGCGTGGGCGGTTGCTGTGCGGTCTGTTCCACTTGTTGTTGTTGTTGTTGTTGTTGTTGTTGTTGTTGTTGATTGGGATTGGGAGTGGGTTGAGGGGACATGGAGGTTGGGGTGGTGGGTCATGTTGTTGAGGCTGGTATTTGAGTTGGAAGGGTTGGTGCTGGTGATGGTGGTGGTGCTGCTGTTGGGGGCCGAGCCCGAGCCGGGGAAGGACATGGAAGGAGAGGGGATGCTGCCGGGGGGAGTCGGAGGGGCGGAACAATTGGAGTTGGATGGGTCGGGGTTGTTGTTGTAGGCGTGGTAGCCGCGATGGCGGGGGCCGTGTGGAGGGGGCGACATTGTTGTTGGTTTTCGTTGAGGTCGATGTTATGGTATTTCTGTGATGGGGTCGAGATGTTGGAAGTCGAGTTGTTGGTAGACTGGAAAATGGGCTGTTAGTTTGGAGAGGAAGCAGGAAAAGGGGACGCGTGGGACTTGCCAGATGTGTTATGTTTCTGTCCAGATAAAACACAATGCCCGCTATCAATCAGTTGTTGTTGTTGTTCTTTGAATGTTGGTTGGCAAAATCGGTCGAGAAATCGAAAGTCGACATCAACAAGACCGGTGGGTGGCCCGGAACTGAACGGTATAAAAGCGGAATCTTCCCTCATGCGCAGATTTCCCGCAGAGAAATTTACCCCCTTCAAAACCGTAAATTGTGCATCGGCACAAGATTTGGAGAAAGCAGGGAAGGAAAAAGTCGGTTACAACCAACGATGGCGATCCTGGAGAGTAAAAGCCTTGTCCATGGTCGTTCGACCTTCCATCTACGAACATGCAAATCGCCAGATTAACGATGCAACTTGGGTTGGGGGTCAGGCCGCACGGCTCACAGACGGACATTTCGGGTCCAGACCTGCCTGCGTCCAGTCCAGTTCATCTCCAGTCTATGTACATGCCTAGTAGTGTACATATCCACTCCCCTAGGTACCCTACCTGTTACCTTATCTATAGTGCCCGCCCTATAAGTCCGTATTACACTAATCCGGGAACGATTTCGCGGGAATCGCAAATAGGGCCGCCGGGGGACATGGATACATACGCTAGATGGATGGATTGCGGGACCCATCTTGCTTGATTGCACAAGCAAGCTTATGATCTTCTTTGCGATGTCGATTATCTCCTTTTTTTCTTCTGTTCTTTTCCTTTCTTTTTCTTCGTCTTTTTCTTGCCCCCCACCCGAATTACCTTACTTGTTGGGTTGCAGCAGCCAAGCCCTCCGACTTTTACCATGCCCTGTTTGTTGTTTAAAAAGTCGGCCAGAGGAAGCTCGGATATGCCCCATTTGACAAAGGTCAATCAATGTTAACGTGACATTGAAGACATCGAGAAGAAAATTTCCACTTTGCTCGCAGCAGGTCGATGAGATGGGACGGTCGCTTTGCAGGGCAGGGCAGGACAGGGTAGGGCAGGCGAGGCAGGGTAGACGAACCGGTCGAGCGCTCGCTCGCTCGTAACAGTGGAGACACTTGGTTGTATTGTATGTAACGCGGCGGCAGGCGCCAAATTCGTAACCAAGGCCGTTCTGCGGTGCGGATCCTGTCGTTCAGTGTGTGTCGTCGTATCGAGCTGTTCATGGTCCTCAGAGCACAGAGAGAAAGGGACGAAAAGAAAAGAAAAAAAAGGAGCAGCTCAGTGTTCCGCTTATTAGATTCGTCTCCAGACTGTCGGGTCCTTTTGGGTCTTTTGATTCGATGGATGGGCCGGGATGCAACCCTTGGTGACATGGAGAATCCGAGCTAGTGTAGGGGGTGGAGGGCTTAGGGGGAAACACTATGCGCGAAGCAGCTGCACAAGTGAGAACGGTGGGCGGACGATCGTGTGGATGGATGGATTCAATGGATGCTGGGATGCTACTAGACCAGCCAACTGCGTGACTGCGACCCAAGGGCGTCCAAGGCTCTCTCGCTGGGCTTTTTTTTTTTGTGCATTCTTAATTTCCTGGCTTCCACTTTGCATCTGAAAGTTCTGGGTTCATCCAGTCCAATCTTTCGTCGTCGTCGGTTCTCGGATGTGCTTCTTTCTCGGCCTGGCTCGCCTATTTCGCCTATCCCCGTCTACCGTAAGAACTGTACGATGGCGAGAACACGGTGACCGTTAATGGTAACAGTAGTATAGGGAATAGGGAGACAGTCAGGGCTTATGTACCACCTTCTTAATCCGCTAAAACCGGTGAGGCGCAAGCCGCGGAAAGCTGATGAGCACGCAGTCCAGCCGAGCCAGTGGGATAATCATCCTCATTTGCAATCCTCCCCTCCAACCTCCACTTTGTCCAGAGTCTGACTGACCTTTCGACTGGGGCAAATGGAGCAATGGAGGGGCTGCTGACAATTGTCGAAATTCTCCATTTTCATGCAAAGTCTGCACGTGCATTCACTGTCGAGACCGAAAAGGGAAGACTCACTCCACAATCACATTCCAGAGAACGCCATTGTTCCTCGGCTATCCATATTTCCTGATGCCCCCCTGGACGTTACACGACCCAACTTGTCCAGGGCCTGCATGGGGGCAACTAAATCGTAGCCTCGCAGACCCGCGGAAGCGGACGGAATGGCCCGTTCCAAGGAAAGTGCTTCTGCTAGTGTATCGCCGATGGTGGAACGGTGGAGGGTGTATCCGCACCAGTGTTCACTTGATTGACCGGTTGTGTGCCGGACGGGGCCGTATGTAAGGTAAGCTGGGGATGGAAATAGCACCGGGCTGAGAACTGGGCACAGGTGCTGATGGGGTTGGTTGCTGGTCCCTGACAGGTGAGAGACTCCGAACCCCGGGAAATGGAGGAACAAAAACGACCCAACACTTCCAAGAGTCGAAGGGGTAGCGAATCATGTGGGTCCAACCGATGTAACCCTTGTCGTGTCGTGGAGCCTGATAGAGCCGAGAGCAGCTGGAGGATACCTCTATGGAACAGAAGAAAGAAGCGAACAGGTTGCTGTGTTCTGAAAAGTGTCTAGCCAAGGCACAAGTGTGAAGATGAAATGTGAGAAAGCGGAAAAAAGGGAGCCATGATGTGTCTGGTTGGAGAAACGCGTGATATCTCGTGCATGCGAGATATATGTCTAGCGCAAGCCGAGTGTGTCTCATCTTGTTGGTTCCTCTTTTGTTAATAACAGATGCAGTCGAACCAGAACAACAGGGGATACCTTGGCGAAGGTGGTGTGAGTGCCTGTATCTTTGTGTGCCTTGTCTATGATGGATATCAACCGAAAGAAGGAGCAAGGGGAAATTCTAGATTACATGCTGGCCGTCGTCAAAAAAATAAAACCCGCAAGGAGAGGCTCACCAACAAGATCAGCGGCGGTTCTCAGGTTCGTCCTAGCCGGGCTGTGCAAATCTTGATGATGCCAGTTGGCTGGCTGTTGGCATCCAATATGCAGGCGGGCTGCATTACTTGGCAACGGCAGCGGCGGCAACCGGGGCAGTGACGGCCTTCTGGACAGCCTTCTCCTTGCCACCCCAGTAGTGCCAGTCGAGGTAGCGGTAACCCTGGGTGAGCTGGGCGCCGGCGTTGACAAAGTGGCAGCCAAAGAGGAGGTAGTTACGGGGAGTGACGGCAAGGGCGTAACGCATGAAGGTGAAGGCGTAGATGGTGAGGGCACCGGTCATCTGGCCAGAGATGCTGTAATGAATAGGGTCAGTCTCGGTGTCCGATTAAGAAAGAGAACAGGGGTCATGTTGGGTACTTACAGCTCAGGGCTCTTCTGGGTGTCGAGGACGGCGGCAATGGGGATACCGAAGTTGGAGGCAGGACCCCAGAAGTCTAGAAGAAGACGAGAATGATCAGCCAGCGGTTACACAAAGTTGGCGAGCCCGCATTTCGCATGCAAGATAGCACCGCGGTCGGTTGGTAGAGGCAGTTGGATGAGATGTGACGGCCCCCATATGTGTGAAGGTCACGAACAGCGGCGGACCATGGATCGCCAATGGGATTTGTTTATTGGCGAGCAGTGGGAATTTTGCCGAGATGAGGGCAGTGAAAGTGGTGAGAGGTATGACCTCTAGGGTTCCATTCAAGACTTCATGATCATTGATGGACATGTGTTGTGGTGACGACGATATGTTGTAGGAAGTGAGTGAGGTGAGAAGCAAGGTGAGTGACAGCAAAAAAGAGTTCGTCCGATAATCGGGCATTGGGCAATTTTTGCCAGGGAAACCATGGGCGACGGGAGTAAATAGAAGAAGCGAGCACAAAGAGAGTAAACAACGTACGGGTCGAGCACAGGTAGTTGGCCACAGGATTGCTCCTGATCTTGGCGTTGAGGGCCTTGACGACGGCAGCCATTTTGACGGTCGGTATCTGGAATGGAGGTTGAGGACGACGACGACGGTGGTGCTGCTGCTGCTGACTCGGACGGTGTCGAGGGCCTGAATTCGGAGCTGCTTCTTCTGTGTGCTTTGGCCTTTGGCTGCTGTTTGGAGATGTCAATTGTGGGGTCTCCAGCTGGTTTTTTGTTGGGGGATTTTCCGTGCGAGCTGCCAGTTGTGTCGGGCCGTCGGACACCAACGGGCCGGTAAATGCACGTGATGGGACAAGTATCATGTACCCCCAGGACTTGGGTGTTTGCTTTGCCCACTGAATCAAAGATTGACGCCACTAAAAGGATTGGAACAGGTTATCCTTTGTTAACAAACAATGGAAACAATCAATTCTCCGGATCGGCGGCTTTTCGTTGTTGAGCCGCATCGCCGCGTTGGTCGGACGGCCAAAGCGGCTGCAACCATCAAAGGTTGTACAGCATGACGAACCCTAACCCTGTGTGACGGACACATTTGCCAGGTTCTCGACTCGAACCTTGCCACTTCCCCTGGAGGCGCAAAGCCCAAACGTGCCCGAGACAAGCGAAGTTCACTCGAATTCTCACTACCAAGACGTCTTGGATTTCCAAATATCCGTCTGCTCGAACGCCGTCCACACAACGGTTCAGGGCTTTAAGCACATCGCTGGGATTCAGACACAGCAGTTACAGCGAGCTACAAGCATAAGGAACAGTGGAACCCTACGTCATCCAGCTCATCCCGGTGGTGTAATCAGACGATCTGTCAGGGCGTCAACAACACTATGTCCAGTTCCGATCCCAAAATTCATCAATATTCACGCCGACTCACGATCCGGTCTCAACACTCACAAACACCCAGAACCCATCACCCAACGAACCCATCAACGACAACAATGACCACATCAACCACCAGCCCACCCGACCCAACCACATCGACATCAACGGCGTCAACATCAACATCAACATCACCATCATCAACAATCCCCACCCGCCTCCTCCTCCTCTCCGACACTCACATCCGCTCCCGCTCCAAGAACCCCCTCCCGTTCCCCATTCCCTCCACCCCCGTCGACATCGTCATCCACGCAGGCGACATCACCGACTCCTCCACCCTCTCCGAATTCCGTCTCTGTCTCTCCTACCTCCGCCAACTCAACGCCCCCTTGAAGTTGATCATAGCCGGTAACCACGACTACACTCTCGACCTTCCCGCTTCCACCCAATTTATCCCTTCCCAATCCCACTCCCAAAAAAGGAAAAACGACCTAGGCCACCCAGGAGAAGCCCACCACCTCCTCTCCTCTTTCCAAAGCGAAGGGATCTACTACCTCCAAGAAGGCACCCACACCTTCACCCTATCCAACAACGCCAAGTTAACAGTCTACGCATCCCCCGCCACCCCCGCCTTCGGCAGCCAAGGATTCCAGTACACTCAACAAGAAGGCCACGTGTTTGATATCCCTCCAGAAACCGATATCGTCATCAGCCATGGCCCGCCCAGGGGGATACTGGACGTGAGTCGATTGACGAGGGCCTCATGCGGGAGCCTCGAACTGTGGGAGGCTGTCAAGAGAACGAAACCAAAGTTGCATGTGTTTGGACATATCCATGAGGCGTGGGGGGCCGCGCTTGTGAAGTGGAAGGATAATCATGACGATGAGAATGGGAATGGTAGCATTGGGGAGGTGCAAAGTAAAAAAGTGTTCGAAGATCGGAGAGGGGTAGAAGAGGGGTGGAAGGATTCGAAAGAGGAGAGGAAGCGGAAGGAGGAAAAAGTGGAGAGGATTGTGAAGGATGGGTATTACCATTTGAAGTATGATCGGGACGAGGATGCAGAGCAGACATTGTTTGTGAATGCGGCAGTCATGTATGCGCCGGGGTATGTGCCTTGGTTGGTGGATGTTGAGCTTCCGAGGGGTGATGGGGATGGGAATGAGAAAAGTACAATGGCGGATGAAAGGAATGGCATGAAGGCGAATACGCGGCCACGAGATTGTTTGTCTACCAGCCTTCAACACTTGGAGCTCTGATGAGCCCTGTCATAACGAGTAATCAGCGAGGGCCATAGAGGTAGATTGGGATGCATACATTAGACATTGTCATTTACTTTGTTTCAAGAGACTTTATCAACATCAAGGTCCAAGCAACAGGTTCTTTGGTTGAGTTTCATCTCCAACCAGAGCTTCGAGTGTAAGTGGTGCCAAAGCCGGGGGGAATAAGTTGGTGCAGCGGGAGAGAAAACAGAAGCGAAGCTGACAAAGCACTGATTGGACATGGAGACGCTCATCTCCAGAGGCCATTTCTCCATGATTGGCAGGATGGACCTGGGGGAGTAGTGGAGGAGGAGCAGGTTGGTTGTGACTACCGCGACCGAAGAACGACATAAGCACCCATGACAGTCTCTCACTCCACACCCTTTGATCGCTCCTTCTTCTTACGACTCCAAACCAAAGGTTTTTACATGCACGACGGAACATTGCCTGACTCCTGGAGTGATGTTGACCGAAAACTGGATCGTCCCTGCCCAATACCATCCCAAGTTATCCATCTGATCAAGGCAAGGCATCCACGCTTTCCACTCCTGGACATAGGCACCTTCTCGATGCAGTCTTCTCCATCCACTTTGCGCTGCAAGAGCGTCTAGCTTCGGCCTCATTGCCACACTCATCATCATTTAATTCGCCGTTCCTTTGCGATCCACCGAATGTATTGGAGTCCCTCGCTGCCCATACCATGCTCCCAGTCGGAGATGTCGGTACCACCTGGGCCCCGTTATTTCTCTTTTTCCGTTGACCTTCAACGTGACTCTGATTCCCCTTCATCTCCACCCAAAATCACAAGCAAGTCGACACCTTCCCCGTCCATCACATGTTCAAAAGCCAGCGTCCGCGGATTTGTCTTCCCTTTTGTCTTCTTTCTCCCCCTGCGATGAACCCTTCCATGTACCCTCTTGCCGACTCCAAAAGCCATTACCAACGAGCTACTGCATTGGAGACTCCCCTGCTGCCCTTCAACAATTTAGCACATCGGCTGGCTTCTCATCCACGACCCGTATCCCAACACTGGTACATGCCTTTCCTTCCTTTGGCCTCCAGTTCTTGACCACACATCTTCAGTGCCTTCCTCCAACCAATGAAGGAATCACGAACACAATGATGGAAGAACACCATCAGACCTCCAGACAACCCGGAGCCGACAAGCTTCGGTTTTTCTGCAAGTCCCCTCGATCCAACTTCTTCCACACATGGACTGTCTTTGACCGGCCGGCCGATGTGCCAGTTTTCCCTCTTTCAGCTTGCTATATCCTGCCGCCTTCCTCCTCTGTGTCGTCGTCTCGATTGCATGACTCTTGCCATTTTCTCCAAGCTCTCAGTTCTTCTCATTAGGGTACAGCTGTTATTTTATGACATACGGCACAGAATGAGGCCGGGCTTTTCGTCGTTTTCCTTCCTGGCCAGGGAGTCATTGATTTCTCCTCATTTAATATTTGTTTCTTCTTGACGTCGTTCTATTGGCCGTTTGTCCGGTTCGTCCTTGACATTACGTGTGCGTTGGACCTGCTAGCGTCCTTCATGTCCTTGTTTAACTTTTCCCTGCTCAGTCGGTCGGCGTCTAACTCAGGGTCAAATGACTCCGAGTTTGTGACTTTGTGGTGTTAGCCGTGATTCTGATGCGTGACTCGTCGTTGCGCTCATTCTCGAGTTCGTCGTGGGGTAACCTCTCCTTGTGTGATCATCACCGACACCCGCAATGAGCAAGCCCTTACGATGATGGGGCTTTGATCTGGCGAGCGCCAGGTGCTCAGTCTTTCAGAGCCAGTAGAAGAAAATGGTATAGTTGGCATCTCGTGTGGTTCGTAACTCCTCGTAGCGATCGAGTGGTCGAGTCTCTGAACAGACTTCTGAGATTTGCTTGTGTGCTCCGAGTGGACGCATCGGGAAAAGGTCGTTGGCGGTGTTTCCCATGCTTCCCTGGATTGCTTGTTCTTCTGTTAGCAAAGTTTAGGGCGAGGGGGTAAAACTGGTTGAGCATGGCTTAGGAGACGGTTTGGATATACTTGAGAATGGAACGCGAAGGGGAGGTGGGACCTTGGGAAGATCTTGATCAGTTCAAGCCTCAAACAGGTACCGGCAAAGAACTGTGGCATCAGGAGACTTCCAGGTTTGGCGGGGCAGCGATCCCCAAGCCGCGCCATGTCACGAATCTTGTTCCTGCGGTTGGCGGGGCAGATTTGGTCAAGTGAATGCCCGCTGCGCTCTGCAGGTACCATCACACTGCACAACAGTTGCATCTGTGGTTCTGCAATGCGAGCGTGACAAGTGCCATCAGAGGATAAACTGGTACCTACATATGGGTCACGAATCACGCATATGCGTCAAGTTTCGTGTCAGGAACAAAGCTGTGATTGCATACAGTAGCTGTAGGGGTGACTGGAAACCACAGAGCTGTCAGAGTCATATTGGTGTTATGTGCTCTACAACTACCACGTTAAATAGAAACTCCTTACCCTGTCTTCTGGTAGTCAGATAATCACGACCCCCTCAGACTTGTAGACTTTCATCCTTCATATTCCTCAGTTATCCCCAACTCGATACATCCCCGGGCTCACAATATTCCCCTTCATCCCCAGCGCCTGTCTCCGTCCTGTGAAACTTCATCCTGCCTTACGGAAGGAAAGGAACTTGGGCGCAATCTCCACGAGCCACGTGGGTCAAACACTCATTGTTCCTGTACCATACTAGATATCAACTTCCCAACCACAGGGTGCTTGTGTTCTTCTCGTAGATGATTGCGAGAGTGGAGAGAAGTCAGTGGCAGGCACGCTGGTAGCTCTTTGATGCCTAGCCTGGTAATCCTTTAGTGGAACCGGCTCCTGATCTCCATTCACCCCATTGACTCATTCCTTCCAGTGGGCAAGAAGATGGAAGGCGGGGAGGGAGGCAGCCAGATGCCCCCTCGTTGGCAGATGGTAGCCTGCCGTGCCAGGCTTCAGACGGTGAAGCAAACGGCTAGCTAGGAGAGAGGTAATGTACTTAGGTACGTGCCCCGGCTCTCCCTGTGGCGCAACAGGTTCCTAAACACCCCTTCACTTGCCTTTGCACCCTTCCTAGTATATTTACCTACCTGTTTGTAGTGAAAGTAGTTAGTAATTGTTGAATCTACGCTTAATTGCCTCGTAGTATTTAAGAACAACTACGTATTAGCTACTGAGTTACTACTATTTTAAAAAGCAAATCCAATCTACCTAATTATTAAAGGCCTCTAGTTCTACTTTAAAGTAAGTTTACTACTACCGAATACTTCTTAATAGTAAAGCGAGGAGTCTGGAATCTAAATCCCTTTCTTTATATTTACTAAAGTACTTTTATTCTAAACTACAAAGGCGGAAGAGGCTTCTAGTCTTTTTAGAAGTTCAATAATAAATTTTGTTTTTAAAAATTGATTTTGCCTATCAAAGGTTTTATCTTCGAATTTAAAATAGAACGCCTTTTGGGAGCTCCAAATTAAGTATTAGGAGAAAGATATAGCTTTTTGGGAGCCCCAGAAGGCCTTCTGGGAGAAAGATATGGGCTTCTGGGGGCCAGATATGGCCTTTTGGGGAGCGGATATGACGTTTCGGGAAGACTGAGATTGGACTAAAAAATAAGATAATAGATGGAATTTTGAACAAGTATATAATTTGAGGTATTGAAAACGAGGTAGGCAAGGTGGAAAAACGGTGCCCTTGAGCAAAGGTGGCGGTGCGAGAAGCTCTCTATACTCTCCTGCCCCCCTGGAGGGCACAAGGCGCCACACCGCCTTGGCTCCAACTTCAGGTCCTCTCCCTTCTTCCGTCTCTTCTTCTAATTAAACTCACTGCCTGTGTGCGTTTGCAAACCCCTCTTGTGTGGCTGTAGCTCACATTCTCATCCTCACTCGGGCACCCAACCTTGCTCTCCCACATTCATTCTCCCACCCTAACCCCCACCTCTATATATATCTCTACTCTCCCACCTTCACTCTCTACCCTCAAATTCCCATCTTCAAACTCTCACTATCTATCACAAGAGTTCGAGTCCCATTACCAGAGCCTACAACCAACCTTCACCAAACCTCACGCGTCTATTACTCCCAGCTATAGACAAGCTTCCCCAAGAGGTCATGGACCGCATCATGGGCCATCTATTCCCGTACCTGGCATTCGGTGGCAAGTATAACCACTTCCAAGAGAGCCTAGGACCGGCAGAGTTCGCTACGATCTCCAAGACGTGGCAGAGGACCATCGAGGCGATGACCTTTCGCCGACTCGGGGTGTTGTCATACGACGATATTCCCGATGCCAAGTATCTTTTGGGCAGAGACCCCCATCGGCTCGCCTCTGTTGAGAGGATTGACTTCCTCATCAAGGCTGATGATATCCTAGCGAAGTCTCCCTATATTAGGGACCAGAAGCTTGTGTAGGAGTTTCACCTCCTTATTAACTTTATTAACGAAGTTTGGGTAAGTGTCTGGTAAAAACATCCCAGGTTCGTTAGTGAGATAAGGTAGAGCTGACCGAAATATTCTCACTAGCCAACTTCCAACCGCTCCGTTGACCAAGCCCGGTCCATTCTTCTCGTAGTCAGCATCGTTAGCTACAACAACTGGGATGCGCTACCCTATGAGCAGACCACGTTCACTCAGGAGCTAAGCAGCTTAACCCAGCTGCTATTATGCCCGGTAGTCACTTCCCTTGCCATCTACTTCAAGGAGGAGTTGCGGAGAGACTTCCTTCCGCGGGATGAGTCGTTCGCGCCTCGGAAGTCTCGAGAAGCCGGAACTGCCCTGGAAAGTGGCAGGAAGGTCCCTCCAGCCTGGATCATGAACGTCCTGGCCAAGTTCCCTTTGGCCCAACAGGTCGATTACGAGATCTTCAACTTCATCATGTGCAGACGAGGCCAACTAAGAACCAATATGCAGCAGGGTATGTACAAGACTTTCATTATAGACACTGCGCCGAGAACCAGTCGCTAACCGCTCTGACCTCTCCCTACAGAACTCTGCACCTCCCTCGGTGGCCCCGCCTTCACACACCTCTCAAACCTCTCCCTCTGGTTCGGCCCCAACAACTTCTTATCCGCAGAAGTACAATCCTTCCTCTCACACAAAATGATTCAACCCCCTCCATCCATGTCTAGAGGTACACATGCCACCGACTCCCTCAACTCCGCCCTCCGGACTCTGTCCCAACAGCTCCAAGAGCTACACATCCACGGGCTCTTCTCCCTCAGTCCAGACCTCTTCATCAACAGAGCCGACGATGATGACGATGGCAACATCCAACCATTCTGGCCTCGTCTGCGCGTCCTCCGGGTCACCACAACCCTCCTCACCCCGTGCGGCTCCAAGTGGCTTATCCCACCGCACCGCTTCGGGTATCCACGCAGATGGAAGCCTACCTTCACTATCAACGCGACTCTGAACTCAGCCACCATTGAGTTCAACAAGCTCATGACGGCGCTCTCGCACGGCATGCTGGGTATGCCCCGCCTCCAGCTTCTCACGCTGGATTTCTTGGTCGGTCCAGATGAACCCAACTGGGATAACGAGGACGTGGACTGGACTGGGAACTGGACTGGGAACGGCCAGGTAATTAGCAATAACGCATATGTACCTAGCAAGACGTACGAACTTGTGCGGTACGTGAGGGAGGATAATGAACGTAGAGAGATGGGCCAGTGGAAAGGTGGAATCACGGAGAAACCGGCGGAGGGCTACAGGTTTTGCACTCTAGCGGTGTTTAATGACTGGTTTGTCGCGGGGAACAAGAACTTGTACTGGAGTCCGTTTCCGGAGGAGGCGGTGGAGAATTGGAATGAGTTGCATAAGAGGATCAAGGGGTTGACGGACTTGGAGGAGTGGAGGCGGATGTAGATGCAGATAGAATTTCAACTTGTGGCGTCAACAAAGGCTTTGTCTGGCTGCATTTCTATGCCTGGCGATCTTGTTCGAGCTCCTGTAATATTGTAATGACGAACAACTGCACTCACGTATGTTGGCCTGATGCTGAAAACTTGAGCGTGTATACTTCTAGAGGTAGAGGTACCGAGCAAGACGGGTGTTTCCTGCCAGTTCCTACCTCTGATACCTACTTGACCTGCACGTAGTCAATAAAGATAATGGTATGATGATAGCACAAACTAGGATATACGAAGTACAGAACATGAATACAGCTATTGAACACGAGTACATGATAGTGAGACTATATCCCATCGCTTGTTCACCAATAGGGGAACCGAGACAATCCAACCCCCCTAAGTCTACGCCGCAACTCCACCAGATTCTCCTCCACCTCGTCTGAAATCTCCGACCTGAGCGCATCATTCTCGTAAAGTTCGACGTCATTCAGAAGGTAGCAAGTATAGAAGTGTGCACCACTGTCGCCTTCCTCGTGACTGTCCCCAGTGCTAGAGGTATCCAACACTTCAAGAGCCTCCGCAAGCCATTTCCTCTGATACCTTATTCTCTCGCAACGACCAGGAAGATCGTAATCCCCTCTTCTGTATAACCCTACTGCTAGCTTCTGGGGATTGACCATGACCCGGAAGGCAATCTCGACACTCTCAAGCTTTGGCATGCAGAGCATACCGCGCGTTAGACTGACAGCAAGATGGTTGAGCTCCTGGGGCTCTCGTAAGAGAAACCGATCGATTGTGGAACCTCGACCGACCGATTGCTCTCGAAGCCCTGATGGTGATAAGAACTAGTTATCACCGTCTGTGTAGAGCGTCGACTCGATCTTGACTTCGCGAAGGCGTGGCCAGAACGGTGGTGGGTGTTGGTTCGGTGCAGGACTGGCTTCCTGGACTCTGTCGTGCTGTTTAGCGAGCTCTTTGGGGTAGAAGAGCTCAGGGTGGACTGCAAACAGCCCGGAGACGTGAAGGACACTGAGCTGTTGACTAAGTTGTCTCAACGCTGCGTTGAAACGGGGATTGTGGTCGTCTTCGTCGCTGTTCCTAGCCATCATGGAGACCCAGAGTTCGCTGGGAGTTTGGTTGAAGGTATTGAGGCCAAACGGACCGATGTGGAGGTATAGCTCGGTCAAGTTTGCAGTCATTGGGCCCGAGAGGAATTTGAATGTATCTGAAAATTCGTGAAGTCAGCAAATGATCAACAATAGAGCTCGACTTCTCACGATGAGACCAAGGCGGTTATGTACCTGTGAACAAACGGTCCCAAAACTGTTCCTGCCCGAGGAAGTTGAACATCTCATACGAGAGTTTTCCAACCGAGGGCAGCTTGGCCATCAACGGTTGCAAGATCCATGAAGGAGGTACCTGGTTGCCCCCGCCTGATTGTTTGAAGCGCCGAGGGCGGCGCCCCTTGTTCCATGCCTGATCGAAAACGATTTCGAGGGAGATAATTGCTGGAGTGAGTGGAAGGCTTGCTGCCGCTTGTGGATGAGATGTGAAGGTGCTCTCATCGTACTCAGATTTCCAGTGTCCGATTCCGACGATACTAACGGTTAGCGCCAGCGGCTGTGGAGAGGTACTGTTCGTTCCCTGGTCGGTTGGCTATCGTTAGATGTCATAACTTGGCGACAGCAAAGAAAGGTTTGCGAAATAAGAAATGAGGACGGAGGGGCTGGGACTGCTCACCCATATGTCGTTAATGACAGTGAACAGCTGACTGAACTCATCCAGAAGTCTAAGTTGGCTCTCGCGAACAAAGTCCAACATGTCCTGCTGGCCTCGAAATGCGAGATAGGTTGTGTAGGTGAAGCTTCTGACCGATTCCCGACGATGCCTGTTGCCTTCCCCTGCCAGGATGTTTTTGAAGAAAGACAGCTGGAACGAGCCAGAGGCAATACCATCAATCTTGGTGAAAAGCCGCCGTTCTATAGCACGCCGCCAATTCTTGGAGACGGTACGATATTTGCTCAATCTCGTGGGGGGTGCCTTTCCAAGATCTTGAACAAAGGCTTCGACGATTGAGTCGGTTATCTCTTGTGGTAGTCGATCCATGGTGACAATAATGTGAGGTATATAGAGGTAGAGGTGAGCAGTCCTGATGGAGTCGCAAGAATGCGACGACGGCACGGATGGAGGGGCTGTATTGTGATGCTATAGAGAGAGGCAAAGAGGGAAGAGGAAGCTGGCAGTCTGGAGTGAAGAGATAGGCACCCAAGTGAAGGCACGGAGTCACGTGGTAGGAGCCCTTTAAGCAAATGGTGACGGGAAGAGGGAGTAGTATACAGGAAAGCAAACGCGCGAAGATCTGGACCCGCCAGGCACCCACAAATTCAGCCCGGGTATGGCGGCTGGCATCAAGTGCCATTTGCCGTCACAGTTCCCATGCACCGGTGTCTCAAAGTCTGGTCCTGCGAGAAGCCCCTATGAGTGGTTGACAACATGGAATAAAGGCAGAGGTACTGGGGTCTAAAGAGGAGGAGGATGGAGGATATACCTCTAGAGGTAGGTAGAAGTACAGGTAGGTGTATATGTGACTCTGTGTCTGACCAACTCGTCGCTCAACCCAATCACAAAAGATCATTCAGTCAACTGAGAGCAAGAGAACGTGAGCGTGAAGGGGAATCATGAGCAAAACACCAAACCAAGTAGAAAACAACAATAGGTACGCAAAACCGGCAAACTCCAGTCCCTCCCATCACCTCCTAGAGGTAGTCACCTACTCTACCAAAGCCTTCTGACAGCCGGCTGCCTACCCTCCAAGTACCCAAGCCCTCGGGTCAGATTTGGTGTTCCTCAAAATCACTCCCTTCACAATAAAGTGGTAACCAGCAGACAAAAGTGTCTTGACGTCGGAGGCGCTCCCTTCCATAATCTGATTTCGGGTGAAGTTTATCCCCGACTTGAGGTGAAGCATATGCAGCAGGTACGGTGTCGCTCAGACATTTAAGTTCATTGAAGCGAGTTTCTTAGGTATTATCCATGAACTCGGATCTTGCAAGTTTGGTTGATGACGGCGTTTGACATCCTCTTAAAGCTTGTCGAACCATGATGAAGGCATTTCAAGACTCAACTTTTATGTGATACTTCATTTGGTCCATGTCTTCCAGCAACACAGGGCTATTTCGATGTCATTTCTTCAGCTGTGTACATTCCGTAGAATGTCTCTGGAGGGTAGGTTGTAGAGGTAGTCACAAGAACAAACGGTGCTTCACAGCCGGCACAAGAGACATCGCATTTGACATCTGTATAGCGCGTTAGCTACCTTGAAACTTGCCCCTGAATGGACGAAGTTATACAGGTCTTATAGCGTCGATAGTTTTTCTTGGAACGTTTTTGTCAGCTTTCCGTTGTCGGCATTTGGGAGTAAGTAGGGTATTATTTCACCAAGTTTTTGTGGCGAGGTGACCAGAAAGCGATCATCTGGTGGTCCTGTGACCTGATCGAGCAAGTGTTTGGGGATGAGGTACACTCCACGTACGCCCAAAAATTCCCCAGGTACAATTGAGGATGTAAACTAGACAGTGCACTTCACAATGAGTGTCACCACGAGAACCTCCCAAGCGCCAGGTCGATAACAAGGGCGTTGATTGATGGCCGGAGGGAGAACTGTGGAAAGCTGGGACGTCGAGGGTACCTCTATCTGACGTTACAATCTCTTAGCCGGACTTCTCCCTCCTTTTCTTGGCAGGCGCCGGCATTGTGTCCCTATCCATGCGAATCGGCGACTCGGAGTCGGCCTCCGACAATTGCACTTGATTTCCAAGGTCCTCGGACAAGCCGTTCGGATTGGAAAGTGCTGGGACCTCAAGGTCCAGGTCGGGCAACTGGTCGATGGCCGAGCAGATTCTCTTGAAGTGGTCAGGCATCCATTTGTCGTAAATGTTCTTGACAAACCGGTATGCCGTCCACTTCTCCTTACCATCCATGGTTGTGAAGCTAAATTCATAAATGGGGTGGCGGTAATATCTGGTGTTCTTTCCGTCAATGACCGGATAGTAGCCGTCGAGCCGTACGAAGTGATGGTCGTGTGAGACGGAGAACGAAACAATCTGTCGGTGGACCTCGTTCTCCCGCCCTACATTACGGAAGAGCTTGACGATTCCTCGTGCCGCGAGAGCCATGCTGTGGGCGTTCTGGCAGTCCGCAACATCCAAGTCGGATGATCTAAGCCCGCACTTTACCTCACAGGTGAGGAAGGGGAAATATATGTCTTTTGTAGCCATGAAGAAGGATTGGTCGCCATCGAAGGGATCGCCAACAAACGGCTTCAACTTGGCCACTTGTTCGCTGGTGAAGGCGGTTTGCAGAAAGCCAACAGAATAGTCTGGTTGCGGCCGAGGGGTGATTATGGGGATCGAACTGCTCCATGGCTCATTGACGCTCTCGACCAAACACCCGAGGCCGGCGGAGCCGCATGTAGCGAGATTTTCCGCCGATGGAACGATTAGAGGCGAAATGTCCCGCAATACCCTCGCCTCATTCTTGTTCGCCACCTTCCGGCATGTTTCCTCAAACCGGTCGTCTCGAAATAGGGAGTCGGTTGGAAATGTTTGCTCGGAAGTAAGCAACGTCATGTAACAAGTCTTGCTCTCAACCGTGATCCCATGATCGGGCTGTAGGTCCATAAAAACACCCATGGCTGCGAGCAGTTTCTTGTAGCGTGGGTCTCGATATTGAGTACTCTTCACGTCGCTCGGCGTCGTCAGGGTCGTCGGCGTGGACGTCGCGGAGTTCGATCGCTTACGTCCAAGCGAGGGCCTTCGTGCGAGGTCGTCTTCGTACATGTCGGCAATTTCGACCTCGAAAAGTTCCCGTGGCCAGACTCCTTCTCGTACCCAGAAACCGATTGGATCAATTCGATGTCTGTGGCCTGTTGCCTCGGCGAATGTTGTATCCTCAGCAGAAGGTATCGATGTTTTTTGTCGTTTCGAAGAGGGCGAGGGGGGTGTTGCGTCCTCGATGGCTCGCTTCCGATCTTCGTCTTGGACGTTCTTGGACGGCGCAGGATGTGTTGTCCGGCGCTGGCGCTTGCGTGTTGGACTACTATCTTGGCCTGTTCCTTGTTAGCCATGCCTCTGTCGACGCTTCATAAAACATAAACATACCCTGATCGTCTGGGCTACGCCTCCTTTTGGCGTCTTCCTGGGCTCGAGATTGGGCTCGAGTTTGGGCCATGGCGACGCGATACGAGTTGGAGCGGAGATGGGCAGATTTGAGCCTCAGTGCGATATCCCCACACAGCAGGCAACAATTCACGATAACCAACCATTATGCGCCAGAATGCTACGTGGCTCGGCGTGGAGAGAGGTCATTTGGTGGGTGGACGGAGTGAGGTTAAAGTTACACTAGAGGTAGTAAACAAACGTGTCACGGTCCGTCCAAATTTGTATGTACGTCGCTCCCCGCGCCACACGTGGCGTAGTACGTCCCTCTGTACTTGGGGCGCTAAGTACAGTAAGTACGTAGTACCTCGCATTGAACCCGCAAGACAGTGCAGTGTCGACAGCTAAACCACAGGGGCACTGTGCCGTGCATGAGTGTTTCCGGGTTAGGGTTTACAACTACGCTTTATCTACACGCATACTACTGCCTGCCCCATTCGATTCAGCTTTGCGCGTGTCTCCCCTCTTTGCTGAACTCCAACGAATCCTGGGCTGATAGGATTGAGCCTGGTTGGAAGCCACGACGTGAACGTCTGGACATCATTCTGACTCCGCTTCCGGCCCAAGTCGGAAGCACATCAACTTTGGTTCCTGCCATGCAGTTTGGACTCTCACGAATCAGCAAAAAGGGGAGAAGGCACTTCCGAGGGTAGGTGACTTTGTAACATTGTGTCGAATTGAACTATTTAATACCTCCTACGAAACAGACATCGGCATGAGGGATGCTGAAATTTGGACACGATCCAGGTAAAAGCGTCGCTACCTACCTACCTAGAGGTAGTGTACAAATTCGATTTCCATCTCCGGCAATACCTTGTCCAACAACTCAACACTTCATGCTTCTCGCCACCTTCTACTCTCTTCAACTCTTCCCAACACAAACACATTCTCGTCCTTCTTCCAAAGCGGGCACCGATGGCGTTGCTATGAGAAGCTCGGCATGAAGCGGGTCCAATCAGGAGTGTCGTACACCCCGTCTGGAGCCGCCCGAAGACTGGAAAACATGATGGCGAGGATTATGAGCCGAGCAGCCGTATAAAGGATTGCTGCGACCATGTTGAAACTCTGGACCAAAATGTAAAAATTCCTCCACTTCTTCCGGTATTGCGCGCCGCTCGTCCCCATGTCGATTTCACAACGTAGGAAGATCCATCTGAACAAACCCGGGTCGGAGGCAGGTTCGCGATATCGAAAATAATACTCACCCGTAGATTCCCACGGTACATGTTTGTCATGCTCTTTTGCGGCCTGCATCTCGACCCATTTCTCCCAGCGAGGTATCTTTTGTTTAAAACCCTGCTCTTGGACCCATGCCTTGTATGGAGCGCTAAGCTCAGGATCTTCAGGTAGTGTTCCGTACAGGAATGCGTCTTGGCCTTTGATCCATGTTTCGTATTGATCTCTGAGAGCATACGTAGTGGACCCGGACACCTTCAAGTCGTTTTCAATGTCCCAGATGGTGCTGATGATCCTTTCTTGTTCCCCGCTTCTACCCTGTTGTTGGCTCCTCCACAGGTCCCGAAGCAGGCCTCGGAGCTTGCCAATGGTTTGGAGCTCTTTCTTTAGCCTCTGTTTGTCTCCTTTGTATTTGAATTTATCGAGCTTTTTAACCCATTTTTTCCATTCTTTGGAGTTGACTGCAGTCGTGAAAGTGTTCCACCAATCGTCGTCGGCATTCAATAGTTCGGGACCAAAAGAGTCAACCTTTTCTGCCACGGCTTCCGCAAGCTTTCTCTTGAGCCCCGGAGATCTGTACAGGTAGGGTAGAAATAGTCCAGCCCAGGCAATCATGGGTAGAATTGTTGATACCAAGGCAGCCGCTTGCCAGGCAAGTTGCTCCACCCGCGTCGGAAACCGGAACGACCAAGCTATGCAATGGATGCCTCCGAACACAATGCAAGATCCTACCATCAGTGACCATGCCCATAAAGGGTTGCTTTTGTCCATCCACAGCTCATCGTTTGCTATCCGATTGAATGGGGACCTGATGTCTGCATAACGGTGCCGAGGACGGGAGCTAAAGGACCACAAGCGTGGGGCGAAGAATGGCTCGGTTATGCGCTCAACCAGACTTTCTTTATCCACCGCATGAGGAATTGCTGTTGGCTGTGTGATGTCTTTAGGCTTCCACCAAGTGACTAGGTGTGTGACTATGGCAAAAACTGCGAGAGATGCTGTTGCAACTTCAAGTTGTGTAACGGGTTGGCCACCTGAACTGCGTGTAATGAGGTCCAAAATGAGTCGTCCAATTTGAATGATAGCAATTGTCTTGACGATCCAGTCCGCTTTGCTTTTATCTTTGATGTCCTTCACTGATAGTCGAAGTTGTTGAAGTGGGTGGCCGGAACTCCATGCTTCTAAATCTGCATCTGCGAAATGGTCGCCTCGTACAACTGAATAGTCGATCACCGGCTGTAATGCCTCCCCCTTTGGAGTCTCTCGTACGCCTAGGTTCTGCTTCTGGGCGACTATCCCACCCATGTTGACGTAGTATGCATGAGTGAGTGTCCATTTTTGAACTTGTTTTGAAGCAAAAAATGGACCTGGTAAGTAGTACCATTCTTCCGGATGAGTCGATTTAGCTGTTGATTCCACTGATGGCCATTGTCGCAGTAGTAGTTTGTAGAGCCATATTTTCAGTAGCCCAAACTCGACGGTCCATATCTGAGTAACCGAAACTAAACGCCCATTGCCATACACCTTTGTCGGCTCTGTTTCGAATTTCTCCGGCGACTCTTTAACGCTTCGGTACATCATATGCAGTGTGAATAACGCAAATCGCAGTTCGCAGACGGCTTTGACGAAGATGATTTGAGGAAATACAATCGCAATGGCCATCCATTTCAGTTTGCGTAGAATGCGTGTCGTGGGGGAATCCTCTATAGCAGGAATATTGAGGTGCAAGACGGTCCAGGTGCAGGCAAAGATTGTCGTCAAACAGTCGATGATGATGGTCAAGGTTCCTCTCCTTTTGGGATTGTTCACCCACCCCACCGTGGCCTGCTGATTGCTATGAGGGAGGAGTGTGGATGCCGGTAGCGGGGCGGTTGTGTCTTCAGCACTGATAAGGACACAGTGCCATAAGATGAGGGAAAGGGTGAAGGAGAAAGCTGCACATGACGAGCGGGAAGTCATGGCTGCCACCATTCGACGGAAGGTGTGAAGGAATGAAGGCAGTAACAATAGAAGTAACAAGGATTAAGATTGCCCTGGCGGAGAAATTTGGCTGTAATGATCTGAAATTGACGGCGAATTCGAATTGCAAAGTGATGCAGTGATTTCTGTTTGTGGGACATAAAAAAAGGGACTGACACAAAGGAAGTGACTGAGGGCATCACGAGATCATAAATAGGACAGGAACCAGATCTGGTCAATTCCACTTCCCCAGGAGCAAACCAATGTACTCTAGCTGAGCTCAGAGGCAGCTTCATTGACTTCATTGCGTCGCTTTCCAACATGTACATGTCCCGCAAGGACAAAGCAGTCAATGCTAGGTACCTAGTTGTGAAGAAGACCTCCCCAACGAGTATCTACACATCTAGATCTTTTCACTTTCAGCCGCAAGACAACAGAAGTGATGACAAATGAGCTCCATATCCAGTGCAACATGCAGATCATACCACAACTGATCCGCTCTAAGAACACACCTTCATGGCGTGGTGCTACTGGGCGCCTTGAGCTGTTGACATGCTTGACTTCAGAGCCTTACACATCACCCCTGGAAAGTTCGTTAGCTCGATACTTACATGGGATTTTGACAGGGAGATGACAAGGGGGGTGACAGGGAGTAAACCCAGTAAAATATAGAAGGTAGTGAGGGGTGCTCTGGGTGATTCAGGTGATTCTGAGCCAGTAAACATCGTCTTCCGGGTAGCCCGGCAGAATTTACTGAAGCGCAGCTATTAGAAGTCTAGAGCTGGATTACTCTAAGTAAAAGCCCAACATTTTGGCGGCCTACTGCGAGTGCAATGCTGGATTCCTCTAAATAAACTTCAAAATTTAGCGGTCTAGTATAAGTATAATACTAGATTCCTCTAAATAAACTTCAAAATTTAACGGTCTAGTACAAATACAATACTAAATTCCTCTAAATAAAACTTTAAAATTTAGCAGTTTAATATAAGTGCAATGCTAGATTTCTTTAAGTAAGTACAATACTAGATTCCTCTAAGTTTTTAAAAAAAAGAAAAAAAAAAAATAGAGGTTAGGACTTATAGAATAAACCCCACCCTAATAACTTATAAAAACCAAACTTAAAGCTTTCCGTCTATAGTATCCGAAGGATAGTCCGAAATTTATATACACTTTAATTTCACGCTAATACGAATATTACTAGCAATTCTATTTAGAACTCAACTATATACTAATACTATTTGGACTTTTATAGGTAATTTACTCCTAATATAATTTAATTAGATAATTATCCTCCGCTTACTTCCTTATTAGCTTAATTTTATAGTCTTAGGTCTTATAGTCTTAAATCTTATAGTACAATACAATACAACACTTTATTTTAAGTTACACAACTATCTTATCTTAAAGTATAATTAATTAGTCAGTCGGTCGGTTAGTTAATCGGATTACTCTATAATTAAATTAGTAGGGTCATTAAATTTAAAAGTCAGTAATATTCGAATTAATAATTTTTTTTTTTTTCACTCATCCAAATACGAATCCAAAGGGTCGAAGAGCGGTCTAGAAAATCGAATATCGAATCCAAGGAATCGAAGATTTCTAAGAAGGGAGGCCAATCCGGACCAGTCCTATAGGTAGAAGTATAGTTCACCCCCACCTAAACTATAGAACCATTATAGCTAGTCGTTACCTAAGACCGGTAATAGAACTTACAGGAGTATAGCTTCTATAGTAGAATTTACTACGAAATAGCAATAGTAAATAGAATAATAATATTAATTATAGCGATGAGAAGAGTAGTAACGTTAGAGGTAGTAGTACGAGTAGTATTAAAATATAAAAAAGAGTAGTAATATTAGAAATAGTATTAAAATATAAATAAAAATAATAATATTAAATATAATATTAAAATACTTATTCAATCCCATTCTACATTCTACTATATATTTCTTATATTAATAATATCTATCCCATTTACTAACCTTATACTCTAGTAATTTCCCTATTATATAATTACAATTTTCTATACCTTCTCTTATTATCAACTACTAACGCTAATATATTAATTATATTTAAAAACAATAATTTGGAATTCGAGGAACGCTTAAAGGATATATTAAAGGAAGAGGAAGAGCACTACGACCTAGTCGCTTTAAAGCAATAACGGAGTACAATTGGATAGGTTAACACTAAAATAACTATACTAAATAAAAATAAACTTATTTATAAAAAAAAAGAATAAATACTACGAATCTCTCCAATTTCCCTATTCATTCGAAATAATATACCAAACTACATACTTCTAGAAATATACTGACTAATATAGCTCTAAGGATAAATAACCTACTCAATTCCAGCCAACAACCCGTCCATTGAAATCTTCAAATTATTTAAAGTTAATATAGATAACTAATAATTACTAATAACCAAAGACATAAAAATTAAGAAGTATACAATTACATATAACACCAAAATTTATTTATAGCACAAATTAAGATATCCATAGATATAAACGAGTTGAAAGTAAAATAGTAAATATTAGTATTTATACCCGAAAACGAAAAAAAAGAAAAGCAAAGATAGGGTATTATTAATATACTAATAATTAAACAAATATCTTTATTTTCATTTTTATTATCTTTATTATCATTATCCTTCTTATCCTCTTCAAAAAGGTCAGTTAAACTACTTGAATAAATAAGGGCCGAAAGGCCGAAGAACATTCAAATTACTAATAATAGTAGTATCCAACTCCTTCTTCTTCTTCTCTTACTCTTAGAATTACCTTAACACCTCAAAATAATATTTTATATCCTTCTCTAATGCTATAAAACGAACTTCAATAACGGACCAATTAGGGTAACCAACTAAGGCTAGGGTAAAAATAAAGAAGGCCGGAATAGAAATAGGGAGGGCCAGAGGGATAATATAATTAGCAAAAGGGGGAGGGGGAGTAGGGAGAAAGTAACCGGAAGGGAGGTTTTCTTAATGGGCGAAGGCTAGAGGGGCAAGGGCTAGAAGGGTAGTAAAAATCTCGAAAGCCAAAAGGACAGGGCCGGGGATAGGAGAAGTAAAATAATGAACTTTACCATCGCAAATATAAAGGACAATAAGAGTCTTACGCCCGAAAATAAAGTCGATAAAGCTATTATAATATTATATAAACTATTATTACTAAAAAGAAAACGCAAAAAAGGAAAGAAAAAAAGAAAAAAAAAAAAAAAACTTATAGGGGGATAATGCCAACCTTCTCTAAGCGAACTATAAAGCTAATAGCATTGAAAATATTATTATAATACTTATATATAGTATTATTATCGCTAATATTTCTAATCTCCTATAGTGCCTAATATACTATATATATTTTAGGATATCTAAAGTTGCAATTAACCTTTTTTTAAATACAAATATAACACTTCTTTCCTCTACCTATCTTAAATTTAATATAATAGTACCTATTCTATATACAATATTAACATAGAGCATTATACGAATAACTGTACAGAAGGCTACTACTATTACTATTATCTTTATCCTTATTATTATTATCCTAATAAATATAATAATAAGTATTATAATTAAATAGGAAAGGAAAAAAAAAAAAAAGAGAACTCACAATCTTCCTTTTCTTTACAAAGGGAAGAATAACTATAAACTCCTCGGCCTTCTCCTTCTCCAATAACTTAGTATAGCGGGGGAGGAATTTATTAGTAGGATACTAAAGTAATTAAGACGGGCGACTAGAAGTAGCGATTAGGGTACTAAGGGAAATATTTTTATAGTAGCGGCGGCGGTTAATGAATGTAGCGAATTTAAAAGGGCGGGTAGGGGTCTCGGAAATAGGTAGCTAGGCTAAATTAAATGTAAATTTAGAAGAACTAGTAGGGAAAGATATATTAAAAGATATTATATTTATATAAAAATTATTAGTTAAATTAGTAAAACGAAAGGGAATAAATGGTTATAATACTAGTAGTTACTTATATAATTATATATAGTATAATTTAAGAAAGAAAAGAAAAAAGAAGAGGGGAGTAAAATAATTTTAAATAATATATAAAATTAATAGCTAGCGAAGGCACGGGTAGGCGGGCAGGCAAATAATTATACAAATAATATTCACCAGGCAGGTTGTAATAGTAATAAAAATTAAATAATAAATTTAAGGATTACTTATCTCTACTACGTAGACCGCCAAATCGAATACATACAATCGAATTATCTATATATATTCGAATATATTAAATATACTACCGTAAAAAGAACTTTGCACCTAAACCGGTCGACCTTCCACCTATCGATCGACTTTTTATCTATTAATTTACCCTCTAATATATTATATAAAAATAACCGTTTAAATTTATTAAAGACCCTCTACTAATAATATAAACGGAATTCCGCCTCGTTACAACCTTTCGCTATAATTAATAATAATAAAAACTCCGTAATTAAAGCCTCCTCTTATTCTTTTCCCAGTATAGAACCTCCCTTTCGAAAGGAGAGAGAAAGTACCGAAATACAACTACCCAATCCCAATAAACTTTTAGGCAATTACTAGCCTACTCCCAATAGACTTCTAAACAATCTAATCCCAATAAATATATTTTCAACGGTTTAACCGGATAAATAATAATTAATAACGAAGCGTAGAAGGTCAATACCTCCTAAGGAATATAGTACGTATTTTTAATAATAAGAAATTCTTACTCGGGATCGTCCGGCCTATCTTCGGTAGACTTCCAGGCAATCGCCGCTTCGTATACTAGTAATTTTATATTACTAGTACGCCATTCGCATCGGGGAGGTATAGGAACGACCGGCTCTTATTATAATTAAGGCGAAGCCTACCACCGCTTATATAATAAGGGTATATATACTAGGGAATTAAGGACATAGCTATATATTAGCTCTATAACGTACCTACGTCTCTTATTCGAATAAATCGGCGATCTTAGTCTTTATTTAGGCTATGCCTATAGTTACTACTTTATTAAGCATAA